AATAGGGATACAACTTAAAGTTGATAAATACCTGCAAATCATTGATTTCTTCATCTGTGAGTGAACGTTCCATAGATCGGTAAGCAATCCTGTAACAGTGACTCGTCATCCCTTTCTTCTTGTTGGTAAAACTGTCTATCAGTTTTACCTGCCAGCATCCATTTGTAAAAAAATAAAATGATTTTATTAAACGAGGTGCAACTTTCAGGAAACTAACAGATCAGGTTAATTGAAAGATTTCAGATTTACACAACCAACTTTATCCTTTAAAAATTAAACTTCAGCTAGCAGATTTTCTCAAACATGTATTTCAAAAAGAAAAACGTTCTCATGCCCCTACCTTAAGCATTTACTTCATTAAAATTATCTTAAGAATTATTTATGCGCTTAAAAAGTTAATAAAATACCTCTTCAACAAGGTCGCCGGCAATTCCTCTAACAACTTCACATAAATTATTCTCGGTGAAAGAATCATTGATCCAAAAACTAATGTCCTTGTAGCAAGGTGGAAACTGCAGCAGATTGAATTACTAAAGTTTTTTAAAATACTTTAGAAGATGTAATTTGTTAGAAAGCATACTGAAACTATTTAGATGTTACTAAAAGAAATAGAATTATATGCTCTCTCAGGAAACGGAAGATTGTTATCCCTTCATGCCTAAAATGTTGGGTAAAAGTACCTTAGAAAACGATTTAAACTTAACACCTAGCTTGCCCTTTGAGAACTGCAAACAAAAAGTCCAACGTGATGATTGGATAATTTATTTTCAAAGAGAAAACAGAGTGGAAAAAATGAAAGAGTATAGTTTAAATGGTGCAATTAGGTACCTGCGAGGTAAATCGCTCGTCAGCTGACCAAAATAATCGGATATCAGGTATATCAAAAAGAACCATAGCTAGCCTTTCCAACCCGAGACCAAAAGCCCATGCAACATTATTTTCTTTATCACTTCTTTTCAATATTTCTTGCTCCATCACCCCGCATCCCAATACTTCCAGCCATTTCTCCTGCGTGGGTAGGACATCAAATGCCCTCAAATTTTAGGATTACTTTTTATTATATTTTTTATTGAACAGAAAGAGAGAAAACAACTATAGATCCAAAGAAGGAACTAACAGCAAATGCAATGTAAATAATTTGACGAGGAAATCTCATAATTCAAACATCATCCATTCATTCTTTTATAGGATTCATGGGAGGAAATAATAGCTGAGAAATGATTGTGGCCAATCCTAATTAGAGGAACCTTTTGTTACCCTCTTGCCTATGTCAGGCAGATAACTTTATCATTTTTGTATTGTTTTTGGGTAATGAAAGTTTCTTTATCCCAAAATAACCCCCCACCCACACACACCCAAAAATACAGAGAAACATCTATGTCCCCTCCCAAGCACGTTTTCACTTCTTGGTTCCCTCGTCTAACTTATCAAAAGTCAAAAAGTTGTAAGGTTCTCATCTAGGTTCTATTTAAAGTTCATATATGATAAAACAGAAATGTCATTGTGTAAATGGAGTTAAACTTGACATATTTAAACTTATATATATATCGGCGGCAAGAAAGTCATTCATAAAAGAAGTAATGCAGTGTACCATAATCAAATTATCGAGTTCTGAAGAGCAAATTGACTAAACGATCATCTGATGTACCTGAAAGAAAATCTCAAGTTCAAATGATGGATTTGTAAATGGGAAATATGTATCAACCCAGCGCATTTCCACAGCACCTGGAAATTTTAATACATCAGTTTATAATAACATAGCTCCATAATGTGTACAACCACTGCAAAATTACAGAAATTATTTTAAAAAATCAAAGCCTACTTACGCGAGTTGGGAATCTATTTTACGTTGTTTAAAATGTAACTACATTTGGAATAAGTTTTTATAATAATCATATGCAAAATAAAAATAATTAATACTTATCCAATACATTATACTTGTTACTCCTACAGTTTGTGTCTTTTAACCGATTATTCTGCAAGTGCTATTGTTTTGTCTCTACCCAAAAATCATTTGTATTTCCCATATGAATTTTCAATAGAATCCCCAACCATAACTAAGGCAGAAAGGGAAGAATCATGGGTTAATTCTTACACAACTCTTACCAAATAAATGCCTTGCCAAACCTTCCAAACATTTCTTCAAGTCATCAGCTGCAAGAGATGTTCCATCTGTACCAGATGCCTCCCAATCATTCAGAGAAAAAACACGGACACCTTCCATCTGAGAAGTAGGCAAAGAAATTCATTAAATGAAAACTACTGTAAATTTTGCAAATGACATGATTAATAAACTTATTTAGGGTACCTGATGAAATACAGGGTAATGAGTTGAATCAATGGAATCTCGACGATAAACATCTCCTGTCACAAGAAACTGAGTATAGCCTCTTCTCAACAGCTCCGCTTGGTGAGCACTTGTATGACATCTCAGAACAGTTTGCGAGTCAATGTAGTATGTATCATTATAACTTCGGCTTACATGATCTTCTGGAACCAACACATCATCAAAATTCTGCAGACATAATTATACAGATACAAGAGGCTTTGTATGTTTAAAAATAATTGTTATTATAAAATGATTAATAAATAAATAAACAACATGATAAGCTATTGGAATTTAGGAAAAAAATTTGACCACTCAACAGGAAAGTTGACAAATACCAAACCGATCCGCCATCTTCCAAAATAAATTCAGTACTTCAATAAAAATCACGAAAAGAATGAAAGTTTTTTTTTTTTTTTTGACAAAATACACTTTCGGTCCCTTGGTATTGAACTTATAGCTTCTAATTGTAACTGAGATGTCAAAGCCAAAACTTTTGGTCCGTGAAAATTAAATTTAGTTCTATTTGGTCCCAAGATTTGAATTACTTCTTGGTCCTTAAAGTTCGAATGTAGTTTCTGTTCAGTTATTTCAGATGTGATACGTTTGGTCTTAGTGGTTTGCATTTAATTTTAATTAATCCATGAAGTTTGAAATTGGTTTCAAATATGTTATTATTACTCTAGAGAGAAAATTGATAATTCCAAATTGACCACATTGGCCTCCATAGAAAATAAAGATGTAAATCAAAAAGTTATTAGTGATTCAAATGAATACAAGGATGCTAATTAGTGAACTTCATGAGATCAGAATATGCTCTTTCATATGAGTTTATTTGGACCACTGGACGCCACAATTTCTTTGTCTTTCATATGTGTTCTGTCATTAGTTCCTTCTAGATCAAAGATTCTTCAATCACTCTGATATATTAATCAGAATGCGGTATATCAAATTCAGAGGTTCTAAAGCAGCGTAAAACCCATTTTTCAACGAATTGGCTACGGGACTAATCAATTTCTGGAGACCAAAATTTCCGCAGCCATAAAGATAGTCATAGAATGAGCTTCATTTGAGCCTCAAAACTAATTGATGAGTTTAAAAGGCTTACCTCCTTCACAGAAACGATTGGACTGAGGTCATCAAACTTAGTGAACTTATTTGAGTAATTTGTATCAAAATAGTTGTATATCTCATTCTTCAGAATGCCAAGTGGATGGTTATCTCTTTGGTGGAGTTGCATACCAAGTTTTGAAAAAATGCTATCTGGGACATTGTTCGTGGGATCATCCCTCACAACATCTGCAAGCCTCCAATAATATAGCAAAGCAATCACATTAAAATTTAACTTCAACGGCAAAAATTCGGAAAAAAAATTGTTTATTGACAACAAAGTTCAACAAGCACCTAGAAAATCAAATCCATAAGACTTTGGATGGGTTAACAAAAGAGAAATGTGAAATGTAAAGAAATGTTGTACAACTTCAAATCGGGGGGGAAATGAAGCAACATAACAACTGAGAAACATTTTTGGAAGTGGTTATATCTCCTCAACGCCAAAATAAAAGTGGAATCCAAGAAGTGGATAAATTATGACTCAGAACGACAGAACCAAGCTTAAAAGTTATTTCTCCTTAGAAATTAGAAATATGCACAGCTGCTGTACCCAGCTCTTTAGCTTAATTCTCTCGATTATATTTTTAAGTTAACATCAACAAGAATGTGAATAAAGACAAAAAAAAAAAAAAAGAACTCGCTCTTAAAACCAATAAATTCAACGAAATCGCGGAAGTTCAACCACAAAATCTCACAAATAGGAATAAATCCGTGCCGCAGAATACATTAGCGGATCATGAAAACAATAAAACGAGATAGACAGATAAAATAGAAGAAGAAAGAATAGTTGACCATGTTTCCCAATAGAGACTCCGCCAAGCTCAAGAAGTGAAGAAACCGGCTGCCTCCATTTCTTCTGGTGAAGGCTGTCGGAGGAGAAAGATGCAGAGAAGGAAAAGGTTGCGAGGCAGTTTCTGCGAAGAAGATTAGAAGCATTAGTGAAGAGAAGGGGTCGAGTGAGTGACAGAGTCGACGTCATTGTCGTCGTCCTGTGCACTTCGGGAGATGGGGACACGATCTTTTATCGCGGGAGATTTTCTGGCGCCGTCGATCGCAAAAGAAAGAATCCATCGAACGAACGAATTGTGGGCTTGCTTAGGCCCATTCTTAACCCAGCATCGAGGCCCAATAACTTAAGGAAACCAATCTTGTGGAGAAGGCACATGAAGTTTATTTATCCGTAACCAAAATTATAAATTGAAAATTTATAATTTAATAAACTCAATGAAAGTATATTAATTCGTTAATTTGTATGGCGCTGACTTATTTTCTTTCCATTTATATCAACAAAGATAATACGACATCTCTTCTCTTTTTATGTATAACAAATGTATAGTAGAACGAAAAAAATATTACAATTTTAACCAAATCATTATTCATTTTAAAATCAGAAATTTATAAATAAATATTATCTAAAAAAGATTGTGAAAAGGATTCCCTTTTATTACTTCTCTTTTACACGTTACACGTTTGGTAATAAAGAATCACTGTCTTCGGGGTTTTATCAATCAAATTTATTCCTCATTTAATCATTGGAAATTGCAAAGAGAGTAGTGAAAAGTGAAAATAAATAGTTTTTCCTTTTTAAAAATAAAATTTAAATCTACAAACACAAACACTCAACAGCCCTAAGTTGGCACCTCAATTATTGACTCTTAAATGTACTTTAAATAACTACAAATTGAAAAATATTCCTTTCCTTCAAGTTCAAGTCAGAGGTTCAAACACTCCTTATGCCAGTGCTACTAAAGGCGAATTCCGTATAAGGATGATTCCCATCTGCCAATCGTCACATGAAGCGACAGATCGATCTGGTTACAACTACATTACATTCATTACAGTCTGCTGGGTATCAAATTTCATTATTAAAACTAGATAAGCAGGCATGGCTAGAGAGTCAACGTGTCAAATGGTAAACCTGCTTGAAAAGAGATGAACCACCAAAATGCGTGAGGAGGTCATTTGTAAAGCTTCTCCATGATATTTTTTATGCCTGCAACATCAGCACCGATAATCTCCCCTGCCTTTTTGCCACTCTGAAAGAAATGAAGTGTTGGCTGTTACCCCAACACAACAATAAGCATATGAGAATAGTAAATTCCGACAAGTTTTTAAGGTTGTTTGAGCTAGAGCCTTTTAAAATTTAATATAAAACCGCATTCATAATGGAACCTGCATAAAAATAACCTAAACTTAGAATTACTGACATTCCGACATCATACACAAGACACGGCATAATCACATGAGATTGTAAAATTTTGCTATAGGGAATATTCTAAAAACTCAAAAGGAACATTTCAGAAACATGAAGACAAACCAAAAGGCTCAGATATGACTTATATATGACAGCACCAGTAGGTTTTTCCCAATCCCCCTCTCATTTTCATTGATCAACAAAGTGGAACGAAACCAAGAAGACAAATCATGATAAACCAAACTACCAAAGCAAAGCCAAAATGCCATCCAACAGTTTTAAGTGGAGCAAAAATATCTAGTCACCATCCATTATAATTGACTAATGCAAGTCTAGGCAGAAACAAAGTTATTTACCTTTTAAAAAAAAGAAAAGTTAATTCGATTAGTTTGTCCTCTCAAGATTAAAGCTTCTAGAAATATTAGAAATAAACAGGCAGATCAAATTGCAAAATGCAATCAGAAAACATTGAATAGTACTGCTGAAATTAGGCACGAAAATAAAAAAGATTGAGCTCTCGAGCTATTCATAAAATTTATTACAAGGCTGTAGGAAATTACAAGAGCTGAGACTCTTACCACAGAGGTAATATTTAAGTCATTCAAAGCTCTTTCGAGTCCCTCCTGTAAAAGGAATAACAATTTCATTATGACCCATTTTGAGTGCATGAGATGATAAAGGCATAGTACACTAAATCGTCAAAGAATATGAAGAAAGGACTGCGCGAAAAGAAGTATGCAACAGATTCAATAATTTTCCCAGGCATAAAGTACTCTAAAATAAGCTTCTTCTTTTGGACACGAATAAAAAAATAGAAAATATAGAAGAGAGAAGAAATCTTCCCACACCCTAACCAATGGAGATTAGCAAAACGCATACAATAAGAATGCAACATGGAAAAAGAGAAGAATCCCTTAGAATTTTAAAATACATATTTTTATATTAATAATTTTTTTAATTAAATAATAAAAATAGTAATAAAACACACACACGCACACCCTGATTAGGAACTTAATCTAGAAGCTAGAAAGAAACTGGTGTTCTTTCTAACTAAAACTACCAATATGGATCCTCAGAAACCTCCTCTTTCTCTCCAACCGAATCATCCACACTGATCTGCAGCATGCATTGATTTACAAAAGTTTTCCATTGCTCTCCAAGCCTTGACCTAACCAGCATTGCAAAAACTCAAAATTGTTCCCCAATTAAATCAATCAAAACCTCACTCCTAATTCCTTTCAAAAGTTTACAATAAAGAAGGTGTATTTATCCTGACTTCCTTGTTCCACATACTGCACCATTGACAGATACGGTTACAATGGAGTTCTTCCCTGAAACTGGACAAGTCTTTGACGTTCCCATGCAATAAGGACCAAAGCAAAGACTTTCCCTTTTGTGAAATTTGAAGGTTATTGCAAACCTAATCCCTTTCTCAAGGCCGTCACAGTTAACAATCAGCTGGATCATATTCCACAAGATTATTGAACTTAAAACATGTAGGAAGTAATACAAACAAGTCCATCGTTGACAATCAGTTGGGCAATGATTCCAATGAATGTTGCACAATTTGAGGAAAGCTGATCCTTTTTCTTTTTGTCTTTTTAAAGTTCAAAAATATGTGTGTGTGGTTGGGTGGAGATTTCAACCTCTGTTTTTTTTTATTGATATAATGCCTTAGGAAAGCTATCGACATCGACTACCTACCTGATCAATGTCAATTTTATATGTTGTCACCTGCGGATGGTTCTTACTCAATTCTTTGATTACAGGGGATAACAATCTGCCTGCAGATATAGCAATAAAACAAATTGAGCGTCCATAAAATACATCAAACATCTAGCAAAAACTCCAGGAAAACTATATGATGTGCACATGTTTATGCATAGAAATTGAATCGACCGTATGTAAAACTGTTTTGGAACTCACAAGGACCACACCAGGCAGCTGTGAAGTAGAAAATTGCCGGAAAAGCTTCATCTACAACGAGTTTTTGGCAAGGAAAAAAGAGATCCAGCGGTATTAAGAAGCTGAAAAGGCAAAGGAGGAAATTTATTTGCCAAAATGATTTGCTAAAAGGGTATACCTTGTGCTTTCCCAAGTGACTTCTTGAATTGATCTTCAGACTTTATCATGATAATATTCGAAGGATCTGAAATCATGTTTAAATCATCACTTAATTTCGTTCAAACCGTAGAGAAAAAAATAGCAGTACTCAAATCCCAAGCTCCAAAGGAAGGAAAAACGATATGAGCATACAGCAACAGAGCGAAAACTACTGTAAATTATTGTGCTAAAAACGAAACGACAAAACAAAACACAACGGTTTCTCGAGATTTATTCGAGAAATAATGTACTTTTGCAATTTATCCATACCAGAAACAAGTCAATACGCAGGAAATACCAAAGAATAAGAAAGATTTATGGTGATTTAATCAAGAAAGACCTGCATCGATTGGCCCTTATTGAGCAGCGAACCATGAGATTCAAAGAGCACAAATAGAAATGCTAAGAACTCGAACGAGAGAGATTGCCTTTTTAAATGTCCGTTATTTAGGTTCTCAGCACAACCTCTAAATTGTCAAACCGACACTTGCATAGAGCACATACACAGAGAAGATAAACGCAATAAACACGACACTCATAAGAATCCAGCAGTAACAAACAATCGCAGGGAAAGATTTTGGTTGAAGATGAAGGAGGGGGGACGTGAAATGCAAAACCTGACGCTGAGCATAGAGGTCGACAGTGCTGAAAAGGTAGGGTGGGGGACTGAAAGTCCGGCGCACTGCGATGGGAGGGAGCGGCTGAAAAGGAAGATGATGACGAACTTCCAAGGAGTATTTCAGAGCGACTGAAAATGGAATAATTGCGATAACATGGACCTAGCCATCGGCCGTGGTCGAGAGCTCGCCGGAGTAGACGCCACTGAGCGATGATATTTGTTCCCATTCCGCCGATTCGCCGAAATTGAGCGTCGCTCTCTTTTCTCTATTGTGTTTATTTATGTTGCAAAATGAAAATTTAGTTGGAGGGTGATAGACATGGAACTGGGCCTTGGTGGGCCTAATTGAGGTTCTAAAAAGAGAAGTCAGGCCCAGAGATAAGCCCAATATCAGGTCCACACAATTTATTGATAGAAAAAAATAAAAAAAAATATATATATGGGACCTCCAGCGGACTTCCAGAGATATGGGTTTACATGATAAGGAACTAATCTGTGATGCCTTTTTAGCTTGAGTGTGGATTAAGGTGATGACTAATATTAAAAAAACGGTGACCAAGATCTCTAAGATATGGAGAGATTATAAATTAGGAGACAAAAATAAAAGTTGGTTTAGGTCACCTGTGTTTAACTGCCTTTTGGGCCTTCGTGAATCAGTGGGTGACCGGCTCCTCGAGGTCTCAAACCACCGTGGCTTTTAGCCTCCACCGAAAGACGACATTGTTACCACTTTCCCTTGAAAACCTTCCAATGTGCTCCTTGATATTAACATATTTTATTTCCGTATAAATTAATTCCCAAGCCTCGGTGTTGTTTCCATAACAAGCATGTGACTTCGCCCAACTCATCCACTGCCTTCTGCCCTTATTATAAGCTCAGCTAGAGTTAATTAAAATCCAAATCCCCTTACATTATTCATCTGATGTTGTTTATTTCGAATTATTTGAAGTTTTAAAATTTATATTCTAAACCAAACAATTTATATTTAATTTACAAAAAGAAGACAAGTACAAAGAAATAATATGGGTTCCATTTTCCTGTATGAAGCTTATCCAGGAAAAGGATTGCCATAAACCCCGTGTCCAAACAGGGAGGCAATATTTTTTCGTGTCTAATTTGATGTCCGGTCAACGCCGTTACCGTGTCTGCAAGAACAGTGGATGATAATAGATGGGGTTAAAAATTAAACACAAATCAGATGGTTAAAAAAGTAATTTTGATTTGAGGTGCAACGAACAAAATGCAAACTTATCATTTTCAGCAGGCAGTGCAAAGAAGAAGAAGAAGAAGAAGATGGGCGCGGAGGCGAGTACACCGTCGGTAACATTTGAATTTGTTGGGTGGGGGTAAAATGGGAAACGTAAAAAAGTTTCCTCCCACCACCTCCACCTGCTTTAGTTAGAAAATTGCTGTCTCAACCGCTCTTCTTCATCTTTGCATAAAAAGTCTCCCTTCCCCTTTCAATCTCTCTGTCTCAATCCTCCTCCATCTTTCCTTTTTGTCTCTGATTCATTTCCCTCTCCTTTTTGCTCGGGGTCCTTCAATGGCGCCGGGTCTCAGAGACCTCCAGCTCGCCCAGGTCGCCGCCGCAGACCCTCGCCTGCCGGATATTTCTTCTGCTGCTGCTGAACTTTCCGATGATCTTGAGGATGTGCGTTTGCTTGATTCCTACGAGAAGCAGGAGGAGAATTTGGGCGAAATTGAGGAAGGTATGAGGAGGGTTCAGGTCTCAGTTTCTGGGATGACCTGCGCTGCTTGTTCTAATTCCGTGGAGGCTGCTTTGAGGGGCGTTAATGGCGTTTTGACGGCTTCCGTTGCATTGCTTCAGAACAGAGCTGACGTGGTTTTTGACTCCAGCTTGGTTAAGGTTTTTGTATTTCCTTCATTTTGGTTTCTTCTTTCCGCCCTAGCGTGTGATGTTGTTAGATTGGCGATGTAGGGAAGACGGTTGGTTAGTTAACTGGACGAGGTCGTTCTATTGCAGAGCGTTTTATGGGAGTTTGTTTTGTGTGAAGTTAGAAGAATTTTGAACGACAGAGGAACAGATGGAATCTAACAAAGAGATAATCGAGATAGAACAGAAAACTATTTGTTTCGACACCATCAAATCAATGTAGGCTTTAGGTTCACATCATTCATCGGCAACTTTTTTTGTGATTGGCGATCCATTTGGAGTTTGTTATCCTCGTATGGACCAACAAAGTGATTTTAGTTTCCAAAAGAACTTCTACAAGGAAAATATGTACATGTAGATACCGAATTGCACATATTTTTTTTTATTTTGCTAATTGTTAAAAAAATTCAGGAAGAAGATATCAAAGAAGCAATAGAAGATGCTGGATTTGAGGCTGAGATTATACCTGAAGCTCCTTCAGTTGGAAAGAAGTCGCATGGAGCACTGGTGGGTCAATTTACCATCGGTGGTATGACATGTGCAGCATGTGTGAATTCGGTAGAGACCATTTTAAGAGATCTTCCTGGTGTTAGAAGAGCAGTAGTTGCTTTGGCCACATCATTGGGAGAAGTTGAATATGATCCTACAATTACCAGTAAAGACGACATAGTTAATGCAATTGAGGATGCTGGATTTGAAGCTTCATTTGTACAGAGCAGTGAGCAAGATAAACTTTTACTAGCGGTTGCAGGCATTGCTGGCGAGGTTGATGTACAGTTTTTGGAAGTCATACTTAGCAACTTGAAAGGGGTGCGGCGGTTTCTCTTTGACAGTACATCAGGAACACTTGAGGTTATTTTTGACCCAGAAGTTGTTGGTCCCAGATCCTTAGTGGATGAGATTGAGGGAAGAAGCAACAGAAAATTTAAACTGCATGTTACCAGCCCTTACACAAGGTTAACGTCTAAAGATGTTGAAGAAGCTACGAACATGTTTTGGCTCTTTATCCCCAGTCTGTTTCTCAGTGTACGTGAATATTCTTTCCTCTCAGCTACATGCCTTTCAAATTTTTATGTTTGTTATCCATAGTTCTTAATGTTAACATTACTTCAGATAATTACTTCTCTCACCACGTGATTGAAAATTTTCTTAGTTGGAGATCATATTGCGTTTTGAGTTTGCTTATTTGTGTATCTGATCCCATTACTACAAAAAGAGAAGAGTTTAGTTTATTACAGATTTGCATTTTGTACACATGTACCTAACAGATTTTAACTTGATTCCACCGATGATTTTTTCCTAACATTTGTGATGAACCCTTGTAACATGATTTTTTTTTATTTATTTATTTATTTATTTTTGAAAAACTCCTCTTTTCTGATAATATTTTGATTGTTTCATGGTAATGTTTCTTCCAGGTACTGATCTTTCTTCAACAAGTAATATGTCCTCATATTCCTTTAATCTACTCATTGTTACTCTGGCGCTGTGGACCCTTTCTTATGGATGATTGGTTAAAGTGGGCATTGGTGACTGTTGTGCAATTCATCATTGGAAAGCGCTTTTATGTTGCAGCTGCTAGAGCTCTTCGAAATGGTTCAGCTAACATGGATGTCTTGGTTGCTTTGGGTACCACGGCCTCTTATGTCTATTCTGTTTGTGCACTTCTCTATGGTGCAGTCACCGGATTTTGGTCTCCTACTTATTTTGAAACAAGTGCTATGTTGATAACCTTTGTATTATTGGGAAAGTACTTGGAGTGTCTTGCCAAGGGGAAAACATCAGATGCCATCAAGAAGTTGGTAGAACTTGCTCCTGCAACTGCTTTATTGCTCATCCGGGATAAAGGTACTTGGGTTTCAAGGAATCAATAGTTTTCTGGTTCTCTTTCTTACAGACATTTTAATGAATTACATTCCAGATATTTCAACGTCCTTTAATAAAAAGCTCCAGGTTGAGCATAATGCTAATATATGACCCCTGAACCATCTAGGAGTTATGGATCAAATTCATTTGAATCCATATAATTGAGACATTAAGTATTGTGCTTCTTAACAAAATATTTTAGGATCGAGTTACTTGAGAGATGAATATTGAGGATGAAAAAGGTTGAGATATTTTTTAGCATTAAAAAAGAAAATTGTTTGTTGTCTTCTAGATCGTTGACTGGTTCTAATTTTGTGTTTCTAGGTGGGAATTTGATAGAAGAAAGGGAAATAGATGCTCTGTTAATTCAACCTGGCGACATGTTGAAAGTTCTTCCTGGTACAAAGATTCCAGCGGATGGTGTTGTTAATTGGGGTTCAAGTTATGTTAATGAGAGTATGGTTACTGGAGAATCTGTACCTGTTTTGAAGGAGGTTAACTCCCATGTTATTGGGGGTACAATTAATTTTCATGGAGCTCTTCACATCCAAGCAACGAAAGTAGGATCTGATACAGTTTTGAATCAGATTATTAGTTTGGTTGAGACAGCTCAGATGTCTAAAGCCCCAATCCAGAAGTTTGCTGATTTTGTAAGTTTCATGATGGGTACTTTACTTTTAAATTTAATCTGAGGTCTTCAGTTTTGGAACAAATAGTAGTTTTTTTAGTAAGAGGGGTGCAGGGGTGAATATTTTCATTTTAATCTTTTATTACATGAAGCAAAGTAGAATAGTAAGATATGAGCTCAACAAAAAGATCATGGCTGGATAAGGAAGTTTGTGTCCTAGATTTTACTAGCTTTGAGTTGGAGTGGAAGAGTTACTAGAAATGAAATGCAATGACTAATGAATGAGCTGCTGAAGTCGTCACCCTACATGTAACTTCAGTAAGTCTGAATGAGTGATATTCGTATCCTTATGATGAAGAAACCTAGGGGTTGTTGAGCATGCCTTTTGGTTTATATGCTGTAGAATTTGCATATATGGTGATTTATGAGATCTGATCTTATAGGCAGTATCGTTGAATAGGACATTGTTTTTGGCCTTTCCCTCCTGTAAAACTGTTCTGTTGTCTTAACTTCTTTTTTGCTAACAGTTCTGTTCTGCTTGTTCTTCTTTTCCATGACCAAATATTTTTTTCCATGTAACATGGGGCCTGACCTGTTGATCCATTGATATATTTTCTTTAAATTTTCTCTCTTGTTACAAAGCAAAAAGCACATGGGAGACATATATAGGCTTACCAAAAAAAGCATATATAAGCTCGTCAACTTTTTTCCAAATGAACACCACTGCACATTAAACATTGTAAAACTGATTAGTCGGGCATACATACCTATAGATGTGATGGGTTGGGCATGTTGGAGTCTGCAAATCATCTAGATTCTGTCTTCCACGCTGCAGCACTCTATTTGGACACGTGGGGCTGTCAGAAAATTTGCAAATTTCTTAATTCTGGTGTTAATAGGCTTCTCTTTGGCCCACAGGTAGCAAGTATATTCGTTCCTACCGTTGTTGCTATAGCATTTTGTACGTTATTTGGTTGGTAAGTATGATATCAATGCACTTTAATTATTATCTGAGTTGACAAATTTGCAGTGTGGTTAAGCGTAGGCAAAAACATCATCTAAGATCTGAAGCTTCTGTTGGCATCTGTAGGTATGTTGGAGGAATTCTTGGGGCTTATCCAGCTGAATGGCTCCCAGAAAATGGAAATTACTTCGTATTTTCCCTCATGTTTGCAATAGCAGTGGTAGTTATTGCATGTCCTTGTGCACTAGGCTTGGCCACGCCGACTGCTGTCATGGTTGCTACAGGGGTTGGTGCCAGCAATGGTGTCTTGATCAAAGGAGGAGACGCTTTGGAGAGGGCCCAAAAGGTTAAGTACGTGATTTTTGATAAAACAGGCACACTAACCCAAGGGAGAGCCACCGTCACTACTGCCAAAGTATTCACTGAAATTTCTCGAGGAGATTTTCTTAAGCTGGTTGCTTCAGCAGAGGTGATTTGCAATTTTTTTTTATAGCTTTAATTCATTTTTTGAGTAAAAGATTTTTGTTCATATCTAATGACAGAATGGTTTATAAAACTCAATGACGTATACTTCAAGGATACAAATTAAATATTTTATTATCTGTTGAGAATTGGTTGTGATGAATAATTCTGGTATGTTTCTGTGAACCAACTCAACCATTAACTACTGTTACTCTTTCTTCTGGCTAGGCTAGCAGCGAACACCCTTTGGGAAAAGCTATAGTCGAGTATGCACGACATTTCCATTTCTTCGACGATCCTTCTGCAACAAAAAATGGGGAAAACCAAAGTAGAGAATCTTCTGGATGGCTTTTCGATGTCACAGATTTCTCTGCATTGCCAGGGCAAGGCATCCAGTGCGTTATTGAGGGAAAAAGGATTCTGGTAAGAATTCATTTTACTAGTTGAGGAAATATGAGCGTTGATTTTCTTGTATCCTGGAATATATATTCTAATATTTTGGGGTTCTGCTTCTCAAAAACCTGTTGTCCTAAACAGGTTGGCAACAGGAAGTTGATGAATGAAAATGGAATCTCCATAGCACCTGATGTAGATAATTTCGTTATAGAGCTTGAAGAAAGTGCAAAGACAGGTATTCTTGTTGCATGCAATGATGAATTAATTGGAGTTTTGGGAATAGCGGATCCACTTAAGCGAGAAGCTGCCGTTGTTGTTGAGGGTCTTGTGAAAATGGGTGTTTCTCCAGTCATGGTTACGGGTGATAATTGGAGAACAGCTCGGGCTGTTGCCAAAGAGGTTGGCATAAAATTCTCTCCATATCTCGGTCCGTTAAATACTAATTTAGAGAATTAAGTGATTACACAAGCCTCTCCTGGTAGAACGATTTCATTTAAATGCAAGCTCTAGAAATTAATGTTGGACGCTGAATTTCTTGATGGCCGCTCATAGATCAAAATTTGGTCCATTCATGCTTTTCTTAAATGAGACAAATGTTGTTGTGGTAAAAGTTAATGTTTTTCTGCCAATTTGTTGTGCAGCTTGGTATACAAGATGTGAGGGCAGAAGTAATGCCGGCAGGAAAAGCCGAAGTCATTCACAACTTCCAAAAGGACGGAAGCACAGTTGCAATGGTAGGTGACGGTATCAATGACTCGCCTGCTCTCGCTGCATCTGATATCGGAATCGCAATCGGTGCGGGAACTGATATTGCCATTGAGGCAGCAGACTTCGTCTTGATGAGAAATAATTTAGAAGATGTAATTACAGCCATCGATCTGTCAAGGAAGACTTTCAACCGAATTCGGTTGAATTACGTGTTTGCAATGGCGTACAATGTAATAGCAATTCCTGTTGCTGCCGGAGTCCTGTTTCCTTCTTTGGGGATTAAATTGCCTCCATGGGCAGCCGGTGCATGCATGGCTTTGTCATCTGTAAGTGTCGTTTGCTCTTCTTTACTTCTTAGGAGATACAAAAGGCCAAGACTCACAACAATACTGAAAATAACTGTAGAATAGGAAATGTGTTGGAGTTTTATGATGAAAACGGAAAAAAAAAAAAGAGAAGAAAAGAAGGCAGAGTGTCCCAATTTTTGCGTTGAAATTAGCATACGAATCCCCTTGTAAATGTCAGTTGTATCATAATTTGTCGATGTTCTCTTGTTTGTGTTCTTTCCAAGTAAAATGGTCGGAAGTTTGCAGCTGAATTTGTAAGATGCTGTCTGAATTGGTTGAACTTTCTTTTATCATCTTATTGTCTGACACATAATGAATGAGGAGGAGCAGGTCAAAAACTTGGAAAAGAAGAATTCAAAGTGAGTGTGGTTGAATGGGATGGGAAAGGGATGCTTGTTGAATCAAGTTCAATATCTTGATCAATGTGTTTGAAAATGATCTAAATGCTTTGTTTAATGCAATTGTTTTCTAATTTTTAAATAAATGTTTTGAAGCTTACAAAGTTGCAAACATCAGCAGTGTCCCAAGTCATTCGTTGACTTTGAATTTTCTCACAGTTTGATCCATTATCGGCTCGGACCTTCCGCACGAGAAAACCTTAAATATCAGCTGTACTACCCATATGAAAATCAAGTTATTATTAAGTATTATTCAAGTTTATATGAAAATTCAATCAAAATTAGTATTTTTATTTTTCATTTTTTCCAACAAATCATGATTTAAAAAATAAAACTTTCACCAATTTTAAGCAAGAGAGAGACTCAGTCAAAGTTTGGAATTTGGGGGAAAACATTGACCATCAATTCCCACTTTTCCTTGCACTAATCATTGTCCCAAAAACAAATTTCAGCATTTAAATAATATTTTAAATTACAATATTCGATGTCATTTTTAAGATGATAATGACGTAAAATATGATAAGTAAGAGTGCTAATCGTACTATTCTAATATAGAAAATATAATTAGTCATCGTCTAATAACGAGTCTTTCCCATTTGAAGGGAAATGAATGGTATAATTGAACAATATCAATAGAGATAATGGTTTTGTAATTTTTTTAAAAAATTTTTTAATTATGAATTGGAGTGAGGAAGCGAGACATCATTTCCAAATATTAATTAAAGATGTAGCTTGACCAATATTTTTATAATTATTTGAATTTGAATACATAATTGAAATAATATCGGAGTATATTTGTATATACAATTTACAATAAATGGCACACGAGGAAAAAGGTTGAGTGGCCCCATTCCTCCTCAAGTAAAAAGAAGAAGGGGGAAAGGGTATATATGGAATTACAATTTATTAAAAAAATGGGAAAATTAGGATTAGTTTAAGGGTCAAAATCAGGCGCAGTTACATTAATCGAGAATCTAATCTTCTCACAATATCAAGGCATTGAATTTTATCCTTCTTCTTGACCCTTTAAAATATTAGTTTTTGGAGTTGAGTTCATTTTTGGTAAATATGGGAAATTAATTAAAAAAAAATGGTAGGCATTTATATGAAAGTAATTGATTACTGAAACTAAAATTCATAATTTGGATACAGAAACAATAAAATAAAGTAAAGGGGGTTGGATTAGAGGGTTGGTGGGGGGTAACAAATTGTGAGAAGGAAGCTAAGGTAAGGGTAGCATAGCATTCTTAATTCCCAAGTCATTTTATGTATTCTATATAAATAATAAATATAAATAATTTACCATTTTTATGTCCCCATTGATGTCTACTCACGTAGCTTCCTGGAAGCATCAGTTTCTTCCTCCTCACGCACTCACTCCCAACTCACAAATCTCCTCCATTCTTTCTTTCTTTTTTTTTCTTTTTTTTTTAATTTAATAAAATTATATATATACGCACACATGTTTTCCTCTCAGTTCATCCCATCGCCATTAATGTATTTCATATAATTCATCTCTCTGCTCCATTTATTAAGCTACTTTACACACACACCCACCCACCCACATGTCTATCAGCAGCAGCAGCAGTGATCAGTGGAGGGCCCAATTCTACACCCACGGCGGCGCGCCTTCCTCTACCACTGTCCCACGCGACGCTCCCAATAATAACTCCATTTCCAAGCCCAGACGCCGCTCCAGGGCTTCGCGGAAGGCGCCGACCACGCTGCTCAACGCCAGCACCGCCAATTTCAGGGACTTGGTGCAGCAGTTCACGGGGTTTCATGCCGCAGGCGCCGTCGTGCCTTTCGGCAGCCACAGGGGTCCGGTCAACCTCAGCTTCGGGCAGGCTGGAGATGAGTTCCATAACAACCACCCCTCCGTGATGCTCCCTTTCTCCGATGGGCGCCATTTTCAGCTCCGCGAGACGCCGAGGGAGCACGGGGTTCCCATCCCGCAGGGGAATCGTGGGCTTTCAGGGGCGACGGCGGAACTCATGGAAATTCAAAATCTGATTGATGAGGATTTGAATTACGATCTGGAGGAATTGGGTATGGAGTTCTGTTGTTCCAATGGGAATGGGAATGGGAATGGGAATGGGAATTACGTGGATGGGTACCTCGGTTGAACAGATAAGATTAATTAAGCAATTAAATTCAATTTAAAATCCAAATTGTTGTAATAGTACGAACGAGAAGAAGAGATTAGGGGTAGACCAAATCAGTAGCTTTGCTGCATGCTCCCTCTTAAAATTTATTTTATTTAATCATCTCTTTTGTTTATTTGTTTGTTTCTTTCTGTGAGTCGATTATGGTAAACATCAAACCAAAATTTATGTTTTTTTTTTTACTTTCACTTGCTCTCATTAATATATCACATTTTAACTTTCTCAATTTTATATCCTATTTTTTTTTAAGAAAAGGTTAAATGCGTAAAATACTAAAATAAATGGAGAATTGAAGTTTCAAATGGAAAAGAATAATTGAAGCATGGTTGGTTGGAGTGTTGTGGTCTAAGTCTAAGTGTTGACTTCAACATTGAATTGAGTGACCAAATGAAGGGGCATTTTTAAAACACGAAGGGCCATCGTGTTTTGGGTAACAAACTAATTTTGTGGGAGTCAATGGTAAACCCCCTCCTAATTACTTAATCTTTTGTATTAAAATTAGTGTATTTGGATCGACCAAGTTTCATTTCACGACCTATTTGTGTATTTTGTCCGAACAAGTTTCATTCACGACTCGGACGATGATCCTAAGCCACCATCACCCTTCTCAATCGTTTTTTTTAATTAAGAAAAAACATCATATATATATATCATGCTTTTGAATTTGGTTATAGATACTAATTTTCTAAAAATATTTGGTTAAAATGTGAACAAGTGGTAAGAAGACGTTTTTACCCATTAATTTTTAAATGGTAGCTGCAATATATATATATTGTAGATGATATTAGATTTGCATCTATCAGTTGGCTTCCGTCATTTTAATTGTTTTTTTGGAAATTAAAATCAAACATTTCGAACTTCTGAAATATAATTGAAATCTATCTGAATTATAATTTTTAATTTCTTCATTAAAAAAAAAAAATGTTTATATCTCTTAAGTAATTGAGCGGATATGGGTATTGTTGGGACGAAGTAAGGAAAGGCAAAAGGAAGCATTTTTATGTAAAAATTGTTTGAGGCTATGGAAATAAAAAACCGCGAATTTGGGGTTTTACTTTTAAGGTGCGAACCCGGGAACCTACAAAGCTCCACGGCGTCGACTGGGCAGATTTCAGCTCCATCATGTGGGCAGCCACCGTCTCCTTCCCTTCACTTTCTAACCTCCGGGGACCCATTCCTCTGAATAATCGACTGGACTCTTCAAAGCGCCAATCTTTGAATCTTCGAGCTTCTTTCTCTGATTACCCTCTTGCCAGCAGACTCATGGTTAGAAGTAATTTCACTTCCCTCTTCCTTTCCTCTTCCTCTGCATTTTACGACACCTTTTCCTTGATTTCCTCGATTTCCCATTTGGAAATTCCCCCCCAATTTCTTGTGTTCCCTGTGATGTTGTTGGAGTCCGTTCTTGGCTTGCAATGTGAATTTTTCCGCTTTGATTCATTTTTCTGTTGCTCCTCTTACTTGTTCCTGTTTCTCTCCTTTTGTTTTAGTTTTTTTTGGCTGCTGTCCTGTTTCTTCTTGGCTTTACCCTTTTGTTAATGATGCTATTTTTGTTCCTTTGGCTTATTTTTCAAGTCTTGTTTCTACTGGAAGTTTATGGTGCTGTCTGCCTGTTTGCTTTTACACCAACGATGAGTTTTATACAAACTGAAGAGAATGTACCATGAAAGTTCTGCGTGGTTCATTATAGATGAGCGAGCAAGATAGATATCCAAAGGCATTGAGTTGAAAATTTCCCCATTTTATTAAGGAATGTTTAAGAAGTTGTGAGAAAGAAATTCAACCTACACGAAAAAGGAAGGGAAAGCTGCAAGAAACTACTTCAATCTCAATTAATAATCCCATCAGCTACTAAAATATTATATGGACTGTAAACTTCCAGGCAGTGAGAGAAGACAAGGTCTTTGACCATGTGCCTCTTTATAAAGAAAATCTTTTATTGAATTGATTTTGTTTGAAACTTTTCTTAAATTCACGTCTCTGTGTGAAATTGACTAGAGATGCAAGCTTGTTTTCTTGTTCATGGAAGTTGTAATTCCTTCAAACTTTTAGCATACTCTGTGACTCTATTTGGCCTACACAACTTTAGTTAGATATCACAAGCTTAAAGGGTAGTTTGTTCATCAAGTTTTGATTCCTGGAAATGGGATCGAAAAAGTAAAGCACAATAATGTTGACACCTTAGATGTCCACTTGCATACAGATAAGGATGTTTAGTGCAAGTGATGTGGATTGGATAATAAAGCATTAATGGAATGCTGGAGCTAATGTATTGAGAATTATGTGGACTTTCGCGTTTCAACAAAGATATTTGTTTCTTTTCATCCTACTCCTTTTACTTTTAAGAATAGGGCCAGAAAGGATTAATAATTTATTTGAAATGTAAAGAAAAAAGAAAGAGTTTAAGATTGACTGTGGCTCTTGGTGTCTATCTATAAAACTTATCGACCTCTTCGCATTGCCTTTTCTCGTACTTTCCTGTCAACTTCCTTTCCTCTATTTTTCATGGTATGTGTTGTCTTGCAATATGAATGACTTTCACCTACCATAACGCTGTCGTTTATCCAGGCATCCTTCACTTTTGGACAATGCCTATCCACATTGAGTTCGTTACCGTCTTATCTATTTGTTAACAGTTTTATTTTTCAGTTTTTCCTGTTCTCAATATTGTTTCTCAAGGTAATTGATTATTTATTATGATCACTGAGTTCTGTTTATGCATGGTGTAAGTTAAAAAGAACCTTTCCAAATTGTCTTTCGAAGTAAACTAAAAGAAAAACAGATCTTCAGTACATATTCTTCTTGATGTTTTGTGAAGTCTTTTGGAATCTCAAGATGTCTATATTAAAAAAAAAATGCAGATTTACCATACTCCACCAATGAGAATCGGCTACAAGAAGAATTTTCAAATTTTGGTGAGATTGCTGAAGGTAACTGCATTTCTTTTCTCGTTGAGCGATTAAACTATTATATGATGTCAATTTCCAGCCGAGTCCAATATGCCTTATGATCTTGCTGCTTCACTTATCAACCCATGACAGTGTTATTAGCAAAAGATCGATTAACCAAAACACCAAAAGGTTATGCGTTCATCCAATACACTAGCCAAGACGATGCTATGCTTGCGCTGGAAAATATGGATTGCAAGGTTAAACTTCATCTAGCTCTGTCATTGCCACATGAGGTAACTCATGGTTTAAAGTTAATGTGCTTTCTCTGTCTCTCGAAACCAGAAATTTGATGGAAGGACGATCTATGTGGAACTTGCAAAACCTGGCAGTGGATCTTTTGGAGGATATCCGGTAACCTCTGGACCCCCGAAAGAGCGGCCTATACCTAAATTGGTGCCAGAAGAGGTAGCAGATTGCTGGTATTGATCTTGTTCTTACTGAGATACACAATATAGGACAGAGATGGGTTAACAGTTAATGACAGTTGTGCACAATGAGATCAATCCCAAAGAATCTGTGAGGGTTGAAGTGTTTGCTGTGATGGATTCCTTACATTTATCTTAATAGTTTCAGGCTTTAGATGCTGATGCCATCCTGCAACTTTGATATCTATTTGTGTTTACACTGTTTACGACACTTGATGCGTCTTCTAGCGCATATTGCTGTATGTAGCGTAGCAATTGAGATTATGGATCATGTGGTAATTCATAAAGCAAATACTTTTACTACTCTGTTGTTTTTTGGTCCAAATTCAACGTGTATTATGGTTTTTTAGTCGGTTTGTGGAATGATAATTGAAGCCTCAAGAAGTGTGCCCCATTGACTAAGATTCATAGGTTTTTAGGGACTCCTATAAGAGGTTACACGCTCGAATAAGAAAAGTCCTAGATGTCTCTAAAGTACAGGCGCCAGGGGGGTCCCAGTCCAACCACGCCTACTGCTTCCCCTTGTCTTCTCAAAAAAGGGAGAATTCCAAAGTAGCTTTTATGAACTTTTGCAGCTTCATCAATAGATACGTCTCTACTCTTCCCTCATCAAAACAACACAACGAAAGAAAACAAAAACACCAAAATCTAGTTTTATCCCAAACAAGCCACCTGACTTCAACTAATTTCCTCATCAATCTCAACTCAACTCTTGGGGGATCATTTTTATTGCATACCTGATTCGTTTTTAAGTGTACTGCTTCTTGATCTGTGCAGCTTTAGTTGACATTACACTATGTGATGTATAGAAGTAGCAGAATCCTTGGGGGGCTTCAGCTGATGCCTGCAGGTGGGGCAAGAAGAGTGAGACAGCAGCCACTGGTCTATGCAAGCGACATGGTACCTGTGAGCACAGTTTGGCAACATCCGTAGTTTATCTCCGTTTGAGAAGTCGACGAGGCAGATAGCACAGGCCGAAGTCGGTGAGTCAGAATTCGTGTAAGTTGAAGTTGGGAGAGCAATCATGTCTTGCTTCTTCATGCCCAAGTTCAGTCCTCTTAAAGCCACCCATTGGACTGTCTGTCTGAGGGTGTGATTGGCGCATTGAAGTATGCATGTGAGCATGGTATTTAAACCAAGTGTGCAAACAACGGCGCAAACAATTGCAGCCACAATGACAACGAGGTTGAAGTTGCTGCCTTGTTCTTGATCGTGAGGGTACGCGAAAGATACGCTCGGCAAGGGATTAAAGGAAGGAGTCGGAGAGGAGGAAGGCTCCATGTAAGAAGAACCGAGCATTTTTGCAAGCTGAAATGGCCGAGAAGGAAGCAGCATAAACACAGGTATGGAAGAAGTTGAGATGAAGAAACATAAGAGTTGAAGATGGAGGGTGAGAATGTGATGTGAAGTAGTGGCTCTTTTTTCTTTTGTTTGTGCGCTACAAACAGGAAAGGCAGTCTCATTGCCCCCTCGCTTTCTTTCATCCTTCGCTCCAAAGAAAAACAATCAATTCCGTAGATATCAGTTTGGTTCCATTGGTGAGGGCAAAGGCAATTAAATAAAAATATAATTATAATTTTTAATTTACCTGAAATAAAAAAATAATATTGAAAGTTGGATAGCTTTTACATAATTCAGTATTCTCTCGGCCATATGGGAATTAGGAACAAAGCCTTCTTCTTCTTCTTCTTCTTCTTCTTCTTCTTCCTCCTCCTCTTCTTCTTCCTCGACGCCTCCTCTTCTTCCTCGACGCCTCCTCTTCCCTTGTTCCACTTCCAAATCTCCTAACCTCGACACCATCCCCATTTCTCTCGTCAGAACCTCAAGTCGCTCACCTCTCTCGCGACTGCATTTGAAGAAGCCCCAGTTCGGAACTTCGAAGCCCTAATTCGTGCTCCCAACCTGCCATCTGGTAAGGGTCACTCAATGTTTGTGATTTGCATTTACGAATTATGTACACGGGATTTCTAATCCAGACTGCGTATAAGTGGATGATTCGTCTATCGGATTTGTGTTCTTTTTTCTAGTTTTTACTTCTTTGCTCTCTCTCTGCTTTTTCTCCTTTTTGTTTTATTTCACCTATAAACGAAATCACTGATCTTCAAATCTGTGACCGCGTTACTGCTTTTCCATTTTCATTTGCGCAGGTATCCGCTTGCTGCTGGCATACAGGTTAATAAAGTTTATGAAATCTAATTTGTGAGGGTTTTTGTTTTATGGGTTTAAATTGCGAATAGAAACGTAAATTTCTTTCTAAAATAGCATGTGATTTTATGTTACTTTGTTACACACTTCAAAGTATGTGAACTTACCAGTCTATTTTGCGGCCTGCCCTTAAAATCATATATCTAACAACTTCCTCTTTCCAAACATTGTTGACAAATTGAAGGCACCAATGGCAGGCGTCATTACGAAGTTCTTCATTGCATCACTGTTTATGTGGATAACTCCCATCATATTGTTATATGGTTTTAACCATAATTTGATTCCTGGTAAGATTTATTGGCATAAATACTAGCATCTATTGCTTATGCAAGATTTTTAGCGGTCATCTTTTTCAGTATGTGCAGACTTGTGTTTAATTATGAATCCAAGATACCAGTCTTGTGTTGGACTCACTACCCAATTCAAGAGGAACCAAGAGCTCTCTCTACGCAGTGTACTATTTTCTCAAAGGCACCCTCACACACGCTGCCTACCACACTATTAAAAGCCCACACCAGATTACACTAACTTTCAGAATTGGACCTCCCATTTATGCCCCTCTTGTTATATTGTGATTAGAGGCCTGATACTAACTTACTTCCTCATTGATATAAAGAACCCAGTCTTTTCTAGCTTTCTTTTTATATTCTGATTATTACCAGTAAGTGCATTTTGTTCTTGTCTGGATGGTGTTACCTAAAGGGCATGGTTTGGTATGCCATCTTTACTGCTTCATGGCTACTGGTCGTCAGACGCAATTATTGATTGATGATGCATACGTTTAGGGAATCGTAAAATTTTAATTGCACGCTCATAATAATCCATTTATCTTCCTGTCTGTAAATTTGTTAGTATAGAAACAACTTTTATGTGAAATGTAAAGTATTTCTTAGGAACGTGGAAACCTTGAACCCCCTCGTTTTCCTTCCTGAACTAGGTTAATGTAAACCTCTCTCAATAATGCTTGTCCCTCTTCCTCACTACCTTCTTTACTCATAACTGTTGGTCATTACCAAATCACTCTAACACGACTTCTGATTTGGTTCTTCTAAGATAATGAATTTTGTGTCTAACAAAAGTATTACTTCATATTTGTTTATTATTATCTTTTATTGGCGTTTTGTTCGTTCTTTTAGTTTTGATCTTGTACTTTTTGTTTATTGTCATTAACCTGTCTTTTCTTATTATTTTCTTGCATGCGCGTGATTACATTTCTAAGTAAATACTTTCCTGGACCAGGTTCAACACATTTGAATCCGCATTCTCTTACGCTCTTGAGTGGATTCCTTGCTGTCATATCAGTCAATGTTGTCATTGCCATTTATATTATCATGGCAATGAAAGAACCCTCTAGTAAACATGAACCGGATCCTGCATTTGTTGCCGAGGCAAAAGCTAGTATAAACCAGGCTCCTGGGAAAGCAGAGGACCCCTCACAAGCCAATAATAAGAAGGAAGAATAGGAAATGAGAGAGGGAGGCTCTGAAGAGCTTAACCTTTCCAGGATTTCAGGTGATAATATGTCTCATGTGTGGTCAGACGGCTGCTTGTCAATTGAGACTTGGTTTTTTTTTTTTTTTGCTTTTTTTGCTTCTAATGATGTTATACTTGAAGAGGAGATGTAATATTTGTATTTCTGGCTTCATAGTTAAAACTTTATAACATAATCCTGATGGTTTCATTCTCTTCATAGTCCAAGGAAAGACACCATTTAACAAGAACACCACCTTTGAACATCAGATTTAGAACCTCATCCTTCGGCTACCACCAAGGGTTGGTTTGTAGGACATGCTGTTACTCTAAAATGTGAAAAGCCCTATTTACCCGAATTCATACTCCATAACTAACCAAACCCTCTTGCGATTTAATTAAAAATTTGGGAACCCAAATGGTATAACAACAATACCAATGCAAATAATGTGTAAACCAAACCTAGGAGTTTAAATTATGGATAATCATATTCCCTAAAAAAGAAAAATACGCATATTAGCTACATAAATTATCTCGAAGGCAAATATTGCAATTATACAGCAGATATTTATGGTTGTAAGGATCTTTTTTTATTATTTAAAATTTGTTGACTTCCGGAAAAGATAAATAGCTGACCTGGAGTGTCCATATATATATATATATATATATATATATAAGAAACCATTGATCGAGACGAAAAAAATAAAAAGGAAAAATCGGAAATTGCTGCGAGCGAGTAAAATCAGAGATCGGCGTGAGGGGCTTAATCGAGTCGGGAGACAAAAGAAAACCCCCTCTCGGGATAGGGGTTCCCCCACCAACAAAACCCTAAATCTTCGTGATCTCTGTTCGTTTGATTCCCCGCCTTCTCATTTTTCCAGAATCCACTGCCTTGGGAAGAACTCGTTTCGTTTCGGGATTTGAATTGAAGCGCAACGGTGTGCGTTCTGGTTATGGGGAAGAAGAAGAAGAGGGTTTCGTCTAAGGTATGGTGCTATTATTGCGACAGAGAATTCGACGACGAGAAGATATTGGTGCAGCATCAGAAGGCCAAACACTTCAAGTGCCATGTCTGTCACAAGAAGCTTTCTACTGCTGGTGGTATGGTCATCCACGTTCTTCAGGTTCACAAGGAGTCGGTCACCAAGTATGTAAACTCCTTCCCCCCCTCTCCTTTTCTCTCCTCAACTAGAAGTCTACATTCTACTTTTTACCTTTTTTAGTGTATTCCTCTCTCGCCTTCTTTGTCTGCAAAGATTCGAGGGTATCTTCTGCCTTGCTTAAGCCACTTATTTTCCGACCAGTCACGTTTTTTTTAATTGAACTCATCTTTCTTAATATGTTTGAGTGATGAAATTCTTATTCAACGATATATTTCATTCCAATCGCGATGAATTGTTTCATTGGTGGACTGTATTATATACTTCTCAACGTCGTAGGAATTAATGTGGTAGAGTTCACATTTCTTCCTTCCATAGACTCCCGCATGCGAGATTGTAAGATTTGAACATGGAAGTATATTGAGATATTGTAGTAGGTAGGAAAAGATATACCAGATACACTTGCCCGTCAATGGAGCTTTTGTTTTTCCTAAGACCAAGCACTTGTTTTTTAATTAATTCCTGAACTGGTATATTTTGTGTTGGTCACGTTTATATTCTAACGTTTCTGTTGTTGGTGGTGATCTTGTGAAAGAGTTCCTAATGCAAAACCAGGCAGAGAATCGACAGATATTGAAATATATGGAATGCAAGGAATTCCTCCCGATGTCTTGGCAGCACACTATGGCGAGGACGGTGAGGAATCTATATAACTCATACGTGCACTTGTCTTTATATTTATCTACCTCCATTACTATTAATATCTTACTTCTCTTCCTCTTTCTCTCAGTCTTTCTCATGCATACATATACGTACGTGTAAATAGACATATTAGAAGACAGAGTTTATGGGTCTATTATGTTTGTGTTTTTGCAAGGACAACTCTCTTTTACAAGAAAATATTTTTTTTCCTTTTATTTTCCAAACTGAGATGTGAGTTTGCTAAATCCCCCCTGTTTTTCTTGTCTAATGGGGGACATTTCTCCTGTAAGTTCAGTAAAAGTTAACTTGCCCAATCCCCATCCCCACCTCAACCCTCACCCATAGTATCTCTATGCTCTTTCCTATGATAAATCCTTGACAAATATGGTATCTCAGAGTTTTTTTTTAAAAAAATTTATTGGAGCAGTCTGTGTGCGTATTATTATTTTAAATAATAGAAAACAATAGATAGTTCATTGATTAGATGGAATATACAAAAGAAGAGATCACATCGAAGAAGCTGGAAGTTATCAAAAAAAAGAAAAAAAGTTTCCCCGGAAGTTATGGTTAAAAGTTGAACCAGATCAGTCCTGACCTAAGTACGTTTGTGGTGAGGTATATAAAATTCCAGGAGGTTAGTGGAAGGGACTTGCGTCTATGTTTGGATTGGGAGCAGACTATATTAATTTTTTAATAGGTGACATTCCTCAAACTACATGACCTGTACAGTCCGAGGTCCCAAGGACTAAGGAGTATAATTTGTGTTTTGGTCTTGGAATGATTCATTCTAATTCCCTAAGGAAACTAACCATAAAAAATATCTGAGGATAGGAAACAGAACCTTCTTCATTTAGATAGTGGTTTGAAGAGGAATTATTCTTGGAAGCCACCCAGTAATATCTGAGGATGTTATTGTATGCCCTTTGAATCAGAGGTTCTTCAGAAATAACCTTAGAAATGTGAGACGATGGGACTTGTTGAGATGCAACCCTATCTAATGATGGGTTCAAAATAGCGCGTTCTTGTTGGTGTGAATAAGGGAGGGTGAAGGGGAAAAAGGAAAATATTCATTGTATTCTGTGGACTGAATCATGAATGTTAATAAATGGATGTTTGGTTGGAGGGATATGTGTGTGTGTGTGTGTTTGAGAAAAATAAAGGAATACACAAGGATATTAAGAATGAATATTTTGTTTTTCAAACAAAGTTTTCTATCTGAATAGTATGTAGTACAAACAAAGTGTTTCTTTAGTTAGTTTGTATAAAAATTATGAGAAAAACGACATTTCATAGATGATAGGAAATTGCAAGGCAAGAGGAAAGCCAAACTCCTAGTTGAGGAAGTTGCAAACAAAGTTAAAAATGTAATTATTATCTCCATTCTCTTTTTTTGTACGTGCCACATCCATGTGAAACAAATTCTACTTTAATTTTGATGGCCCTCCTCCCCTCTTCCTAATTTACATTGGTGTGCTAACATGAATTTTTTAAAAAAATGATAGACTATTTGTAAGCATCATGGATTTTTTATACCTTTTGTGAATTTCAATCATCAATTGAATTGTCTCTTATAAAAAAAAAATGATAGACTACGCTTTCATAGGGAAGAAATGAAAGAATACAAAGCAAAAGACCAACATGCATACAAATAAACAACCTAGACTAAACAAACCTGCCAACTAGCCATGCAAAAAGGGACGAACCTGGAAGAATAAGACCTAACAGGTAATTACAAAGATTTGTGGAGACCAATGCTTAGATTGAGATGTTAAACCTGGCTAATGAACGAACCTCCTCGTAAGCTCCCTCCAAAATTCCTAATAATTCTGTTATTCCTTTCAAACCAAAGACCTCAAATGACCAAAAAGAAGCCAACCTGCCACAAAACTTGACACTTATCATGCTAAACTATAAATAATCTTTATGATCCAATATACTTGCTATGCTTAATTACTGATGGTCCTGAATAATCCAGTATTGTTTGATTTTTTTTAAAAAAATACAAATTATGAGGGGAGTGCATGGTATGCTTATTGTTTCTGTTCTCCAAACTTCTCTGCTGAGCTCTTATGCCACATAATGATGAATGTTGTTGTGTTTGTTTCTTATGATTTCTTTTCTTTCTTCTTCTTCTTTTTTTTTTTTTTCTTTTTTTTGAGAGTGGTATTGGAGATAGTGGTATAATTATAGAATTATGGAAATGCTCTTCTTTCTTGTAGAAGAAGAGTCCTTATCAAAGGTGGCCAAAGTGGAGATGCCACCGACTCAGATGGTTGGAGGTGTGGTGCCCGGATCGCTGGGCATTGTATACCCTCCTCAGCCAGGTTTAGCTGCAATTCAACCTATGTAAGTATCTGCCTACCTTTTTTTCTTCCAATCACTATTGCTGCTTAACTTGAAGTTTTTGCATTTGTTTGTGTTAACTTCAGTAAAATGTTGAATTATCAAACAATGTAATTTCTACCAACTACCTTGTTACTGCAGTTATCCTTCGACTGGACAAGCACAGCCTACTGCCTGGCCGGTCCCACCTCGTCCCCAACCTTGGCTCCCTCCAAATTCAGCCGTTTCAATTTCGGCTCCTGCCCCATTGGGCTATGCTCAGCAGCCACTATTTCCTGTGCAGACTGCAAGGCCCCCACTTCCAGTATCATCAACTCCTATGCTCCAGTCTTCACAAATAACACATCCTGGATTGACTTCAACCACTCCTTCAGTTTCTGTATCTCAGCCGTTGTTCCCTGTTGTTAATAATAGCCACGGTCCTACTCAAAGCTCTCCTTTTCCTTCATCTACACTTTCAACAAGCATTCCTTTGACCTCAGCAGCTGATATCAAGGGCTCAGTGACACATCTGGGCACTAACTCCTTTTCTACTATCAGCAATCAGGTTTCAAATGTTCCAGGTGCAACTAATTACTTATATGCAGTCTCTTCTATATGACTTCTCACAAAGCTTGATCCAGTTTGGTTTTATCCCAATGCACTGAATAAGGACAAATATAGTAGTACTTCCAGATGTTTTTTTTGGTATGCAACGGTAATACGTATTCATGTCTGTTGATAATTGAAGTTTGGCCTTTACATAAAGTCATAAACAACAAATCTTAACAAATATAGTAGTACTTCCAGATGTTTTTTTTGGTATGCAACGGTAATACGTATTCATGTCTGTTGATAATTGAAGTTTGGCCTTTACATAAAGTCATAAACAACAAATCTTAAATTTTCTATGTTCGAGCATGGTTACCTCTTGTAAAGGGTTATCCAGTAGTAATTTCAATTTTAAATTTCAATAGGAACTACAATCTATGCATTTCTCCTAATGTAGTTTCAATTACAAACTCTTGCATAAAATTGTAGAAAGTCAGAAGAGCAATTATCTAGTTTTTTTTTTTTTTAAACTACTTAACAGGGTGCCTTATCTGCATTTAATATTGTAGGTGGAATATTAAGCAATTCACACTCCTATGCCTCGGGACCAAATACGGGTGGTCCTTCTATCGGACCACCTCCTGTAATTGCAAATAAGGCTCCTACTCAGCCATCAGCAAACGAAGTATATTTGGTTTGGGATGATGAGGCGATGTCTATGGTAAGTTTTCTTGTGTGCTGATCTACCATGATTTATCTTGAGATTTCCAACCTGGTTTCACTTTCTTATGGTAAACGTGCAGGAGGAAAGAAGAATGTCCTTAACCAAGTATCAGGTGCACGATGAAACTAGCCAGGTAAGTTATACTACAACTTAAATATTTGGAGTTGGTTTCAAGTCTCTAACCATGTGCGGTAGGCTGTACATGTTTCTGTTTTTGGATTCTTTGTAGTATACATGTCGAAGTAAATCTGATTTTTATTTTATTTACACTTTATACAATGTATTTTCTTAGAACCTTGAGCCTGAACTCACTTTTTACCTCGAACTTCATCATCATGTAAATGCTGTTTTATTTAACTGACTTTTTCCAGTTTGCACGCCAAACCACCAATCTTGTGGCATCAAAAGGCTCAAGTAGGTATTTATGTTATCCCACTTACAGTGTGTATAAGGCCTTACCTATTGTTGCATGAATATGGTTTAAGACCGTTGTATATGCAATTCTTCCTTTTGGCTTTTTAATCTATTATTTATGATTCACTCTCCCTATGCGCTTGATGCCTAAGTGTGGGGATTTGGGTGGAACAAGATTATATACCCTACAGATTTTTGCTCATTTTGTAGCATCATTACAATTTATTTTATGATCGATCAGTGAATACGGCTTTGACCAGGTCAGCCTCTTTTGCAATGTTTGGCACCTCTTACATAGGACTCAACCATATGATTTGGCGATGGCATCATTTCTATAATTTCTGTCTAATCATGTTGTGTCGTATTCTTGGTTTCAGATGAGTTCAATTGATGCAGCCATAGACAAACGAATCTTGGAAAGCAGGCTTGCTGGCCGAATGCCACATTTTAATTGAAGGCTCCTCCATTGGTCTGTGGCAGTTGGTTTCAGAAGAAGCTGTGGAATTTGCAAGTCACCAGGCAATGTTGATATTGTTCACAGATTGAGCAACTTCAACATAAACATCTACATTGAATTCAATGCATTGCCAGAAATTGCGTAGGGAGAGTACAACAGAGTTTTCTTTTTCCTATCTATGTTGTCAATTATTGAAAGGTGATTTAAATGAGGGAGTTCTTCATTTCTTTTCTTTTCTTTTCTTTTCTTTTCTGTAATTTAAACCTCTTTGTACCCATTTTTTCCTTAGTAGAGTTTTTGAGTTTAGAGAAAGATTTGCATCTTCGGCCTTGGAAGATAACTCCATCTTCCTTTCTGTATTTCGTTGGTTCTCTACTCTTCCCTCTGCTGTGTTGGAAAGGAAACATGATTCCTTCAATATTCAATTTTAGCAAAATAATAATAATAAGAGGAAGAAGAAGAAAAGAACAGTATACAAATTCATAAGAACTCTATGATAATGTTTTATTATTTAGTTAGCAAGAAATAATTTTATTTTTCAAATATAATATTTGAAGCGGCAATTTATTAGAGGATTTAAAATTGAAGTACTTGAGTTTAAAAGTTGAAATATATTTAAAAGAAAAAAAAAATTAGTTGAAATTGGATAAAATTTTTTGCAAAATTGTTTTTTTTCCCCCTATATATGTACTATATAAACAAATGAAATGAAACCACCGCTAGTTGTGGGACACCATCACCGAACCTCTAAACCCCCAAAACCCCAACTGCTGCGACCCGAGCCAACCCTTCTGCTTTGGTTGTTCATATCATTGCGCCGCTCTCCCTCGCTCTCTTCATCAACCTTCTTTCCTTCATGCTTTGTATGAGGATTTAAGATGAACGCTTTAAGGGCTCTGAGAATAGCCACGACGATTTCTGCTCGATCCCACCAGACTTTCCTCATAAATCCATTGTTTTCCCATCGATGTTACTCTGCCCAACCTGAGCAAGACGATTCGAATCACAACCCTACTTTCTCGGACACTGAAAATGCCCCGGATTCTGTATTCGATAGTTCGCAGTTCACTATTCCAAACATGGATTCGTGTACTAAAACTGAGTCTCACTCCCCTGCAGAATCCACTTGGGATAAAAAATATAGGGCAAGAGCCGACAAACTGATATTTGGGGAAGAATCCGAGGGAGTAAAATACAAGATAATGGAGGAGGAGGAGGAAAGGAGACGGAGAGTGCTTGCCAAGGCTCTGCTTGAGGCGGCGTTGGAAACTGCTGACGATCAGGAAGAAGATGACGAGAGAACGGTGAAGGAGGAGGACCAGAAGTCCTTGGCTGTTGGGATAATTGGAGCACCAAACGCTGGCAAGTCCGCGTTGACAAACTTTATGGTTCGTTCTTTAAGCTTTCACTCCTTTGGCCCGCACAACTGATCTAACTTTTATGACCAGTTCATTTTTCGTATGATTTTTTGAAACCTATAGTCGCTTAGAGCATTCAAGAAGATTTTTTTTTTTTTTTTAATTTTTTTTTTTTTTCAGATGCTCAGATGAACTAGTACTAAAACTGCTAATTTGATAAAACTTCGTTTTTTGCAAGATTGTTGGATTCGTGAAAAATTTTAGGGTTGTTATTCTTTCTTTCAAGCTTTGCATACTAAACCAATTATTGTCGTTCCCTGAACTGAAAAACTGCCTTTTTCCCCTTTTTAGTCTGAAATTTTTCGTTTCTTCATTTTTTAACTTTGCTTAATATAAAGGTGGTTATGTGGAAGCAGTCAGCTTGTATTGACTATCACATAAGAGATTGTTAGAAGTGATTCGGTTATGTTTTTTTTTTTTTTTTTTTTTTTTTTTTTTTTTTTTGTGTAGGTGGGAACTAAAGTTGNGTTTCACGGAAGACAAATACCACTACTCACGAAGTCCTAGGAATAATGACCAAAGGAAATACCCAAATTGTATGTATCACATTTTTGTGAGGAAATGTTGCTTTGTTCTGTGTTTTCTCATTGCTAGATAGCTAATTTGGGCTTTTCTTGATTCGTTATGCCAATTCAGTGTTTCTTCGACACACCAGGGCTCATGTTAAAGAGTAAGGGACTTCCTTATAAAGATATGAAAGTGCGTGTGCAAAGTGCTTGGAGTTCAGTTCAACTTTATGATGTGTTGATAGTTATTTTTGACGTCCATAGACATCTTACAAGGTTAGTAGTAATTTCTCCTGGTCTCAAATGTTAGAATATAGGTTTCTCAAATAAGAGGCTTGACAACCATAGGCTTTACAAGTTTTCCTATTTTTCTTTTATTGTGCTAGTCTTGTGGTCAACTCTAATGGTTTAGCAGTTATCTCTTTGATTTTCTATAGGCCTGATTCAAGGGTGGTAGGATTAATCAAACGAATGGGAGCTTCATCACAACCAAAGCAGAAGCGAATATTATGTATGAACAAAGTTGATTTAGTCGAAAACAAGAAAGACTTGTTAACAGTTGCAGAACAATTTAAAGATCTTCCCGGATACGAAAGGTATTATTGGTTCTTGTTTAGAACGTTGACTCGCTTAGAGGTATTTGAGCATTTGTTTTCACTAACAGAGCAAGCTCCGTATAGGTACTTCATGATCTCAGGGCTAAAGGGAGCTGGAGTAAAAGATCTTTCAAAATACTTAATAGAACAGGCATGTCTCCTATTTTGTTTCACTACTGTTATTCAGAGGAATATGTCTGTCGAGGATTTTTCACTTGATTAATAAATATTCCAAATGGTCTTAAACTCATCGTTGCTTGAAAGAGTTAATCTATAGGTTTAAATCCTATTTTAGTCCCTGGAATTTTAGATTTGTTCCATTTTGGTTCTTAAACTTTCAAGAGGTATATTTTGGGTCTGAACTTTCAAAAATGTATATTTTGGTCCTTGAACTTTCAATTTCGTTCCATTTTTATCCTTGTGCTTTTAAAATGTATATTTTAGTCTCTAAAAGGTTTTAAAAATAATTATTTTGGTCCTTATTTGTATTTCATTTTTAACAAAGTCATTATGTACTAACATGTTATTACGAATGTGATTTCAAGCATATCAGATACAAGTCTTAGGCAAGTGAAAATTAGATGGAAAAATAATATAACATGGACCGAAGTTGTTGTTTCTAAAATGTTTGTGACTAAAATAAACATCTATAAAAATTTAGGGACCAAAATATAGTTCTAGAATCAAAATAAATATTTTGAAAGTTTTGGGATTAAAATGAAACCAAATTTGAAGTTTAGGGATCAAAATAGATTTACATTTGTGATTTGATGTTTTCACAAGTTTGATGATGATGCTAAGCTTATGATACGAGAAAAACTACAAAAGTTGCGCATGGGCTCTAGGGGCTGTTACAATCACACCTTCAGATTTTCAATTTGATTAATCAACACCTGAACTATTTATGGATTTTCAATTTCAATGCAACAATTTCTTAGGTATTAAAGGTGATTGGTCAAATTGAAACATTGGGGTTGTGAATGTTACAACTCCTATAGTTTAAAGGTGGTTGTATCAATTTTTTCCATCTTTTATTGTCATCAGCCAGCTAATTATTCTGTTCACTCAGCTTATACCTGCATCTAAACCTGCTTTCCCCCTCCCTTTTTAGGCAGTCAAAAGACCTTGGGATGAAGATCCATACACTATGAATGAAGAAATGATGAAGAACATATCACTTGAAGTTGTTCGGGAGCGGTTGTTAGACCATGTGCATCAGGTAGTCATTACTATTTTATTTTTATCTGAGCTGGCCAAGAAATTCTTTTTTATTCATGAACTTTGCTTCTATTTTCAGGAAATTCCTTATGGAATCGAACATCGCCTGGTTGATTGGAAAGAATTTCGAGACGGTTCTCTTAGGATTGAGCAACACTTGATCACTAATAAACCAAGTCAGCGCAAAATTCTTGTGGGAAAAAATGGCTGCAAAATTGGGTAAGTAATATTACTAAAATGTTTACTTTTGCAAACCAGATGATATAAGTAACTTAAGTGTTTTTTCATATACAATTTAAAAGATTTTTCTCTAAAACCAGGAAATAATGAGAAATTACGAGTGATTTTGAAATAGTTAAGTTACTTTTGTCGTGTTTAGAATCACTATGGAATTTGTCTGAAAATTTTGTTTAAAAGTGTAAAATAAAATATTAAATTGCTTTTGAATGATTAAAAGCATGTTTGTTTTATTCAAAATCACTCTCCAGTTTTCCCGAAAATTAGAATTGATATTATTTATTTTGATCTAACTGGAAACATATAATCTTCCATCTAATGAGCTTTGATCTTTTGTAATCTTCTTTGCCTTTTGAATTGGGAGGATGTCTGTACTTCTCTCACATTTTGCATTCATTTAATTTTTTAATACATTTATTTGTTTTGCATAAAGTCGAAATATTAATCTTTAGTTTCTAATGTTCCTCTACGGATTCAACTGAGTTTATACAACAATTCAATTTCGAGCATGGAAATTTAAGTCGTTCAATTTCACAATTTCAGGAGAATAGGTATTGAAGCAAATGAAGAGCTAAGGTCTATCTTCAAGAAACAAGTGCATCTCATCCTCCAAGTTAGACTTAAATGATGCATCTGTCTATCTATAGTTCCCCTATGTTCATATAGAGAATTGTTTGTCGGTTATCTTAGAAATGCAGATATCTTCCCCGCTATAATTTATAGTGGACGTGAAGATGAAGGCTTCAGAGCTTGGAATCAGTTTATTATTTTTAAAAGGGTTGAAATGCATTTTGATGAAGAGAAGAATTTGACATCGTGCATGAAGCCCATGAGAAGTGAGAGCGAGAATTAAGAACTTTTTTGGAAGGTTATCGCTTTCAATCTACAATTCTAGTTTTGTTTTTCATAATTTTGTTGAAATAAGTTTTTTTTTTTTTTTTTTTTTTTTTTTTTTTTTTTTTTTTTTTTTTTTTTTTTTTTTTTGTGTGTTTATTATATTGCTGTAACTTTAAGCATAATGCCAAGGTGTTTCAATTTCTAAATGAAGAAAGGCATCTTCGCATTGGTACCCAACAACAAACTAGGATGAAATCTCGTCTATTTCTTTGGAAGATATTCTCTGAACTTTTGCAGCTCAAGGAGGGTTATTATTTGGTAGCCTTTTTATACTCTCTTTTTTTTCTTTGGTTATGATCTTAAAACTGAAATTAGGATACACATTGTGTGTTATTTCTTCATATTATTCTTCTTAAACAAACTTTTTTTTAATCTTCTTTCTCACCTTATTCTTCAATTTAAGGATTCAAAATCCCAAGAATATAAGTCATGGCCATACGTGTCTCTACGCAAACATGGAAATTCGAATCATGAAAATTGTCGGGTAATAGGACAAGGGCATCGTCATAACACTGAGATTTAACGGTCATGAAGAGGACAGCAAGTAATGATGGGGTCATGCATCTGAGGACCATGTCTTTTGCCGTAATCTGGTAATGGTCAAGCCACCTACTCCAAAGCCATCCATTATAGCGTTTGCTGAAGGGAACTCAGCTCGTGATGTCAAACTACAAAAAATAAAGACCGGGAAGTTAGGAAGCGTGCATGTGGTCGTTACGTTGCAACTAGAAATTGCAGATTATGTTGATTGCTAAAATCGACATTGACAGTAGTCTTTTTTTATCCAAGTCCAACTTGAGCAAAATGTTTCCTGCCAAGCCCTGACGCATGATTAGGAACAAAATTGACAAGTTATATCATCAAGGATTCTAGCTTTTAGACAAATGTAGTGCCACTTTCTTGATATATCGTAATGATTTGGTAAAGAGACTCGTGGGAGGAACCAGATTGAAAGTACAGCTTTTCATACGAAGCATGAAAGTGATTAGGTTACTTAAAGATAGAAAGACAAGTGCTCTGATCTGTCAACTATGGGTCCTTTCTATATTCAATCTAATGCTCAAGTCTAAAAATTTCAATTCTTGATGTTATCTTGACGCAGATAGATTCTTAACTTCATGCTATCAAGGAAGAGGAAGGAGAAAAGAGGATGACATTCAGGAAAGACCCTAAATGCTTCCACAGCTGTATTCCCGAGTCTTTGGGTTCCTACCTTGAACCAACTTCCGGGGTCCAATTTTTCTCCTGCTGAAAACTTGATTAATTCTAATAAAGCAGGTATTAAGACCTAATTTGTCCTATAAGACACTCTAAAAGTGCCTGCATACTAATCCCCGAGATGTAAACTTACAATAATCAGGGAGAAAAAAAAAAGTGAAATCTAATTTGAGAATCTAGATTGGGGATTACCTGCTACGGAGCACAATACGCGGCATGCCTATTCGCTCAGCTCCATCAACCCCAGACTGGGTTCCTGCAATAAGGATGCAATTGGAAACAGGTATGTCCGCAAGTTCTGCTCCAGCACGCAATGCACATATGATCTTGTCCAAACTAAGAAAAACACACAATGATATTAACTAACGCACACGATATTGCTTTCTGTAAACATATATAATATTAAACATTGTTGTCAGATAAACCAGCAATCCAATTATTTAAAATAAATTTCCAAGAATAGTGCATATATCATGACAGCTGCAATCATAGGATTCTTAGAATTTGAAAATAAACCACATAACCAAGCTTCTAAAAGCGTCCCATGAATACTACAAAGAAGATACATGTGCATTTACGTGTAAGTTTATAAGATTGAAAAGCATGCACAATACATATTTTCGTGCAGAGGAAAAGTATGAGAAGGGTCTCCAAGAACCGCAACATATCTTTTTTTATAACCATAAGTCAATTGAACCATTGGACTATTTCTATTACTTCTATTACAATTCCATTGTTTGCATTGTCTTCTAACATTCTTTAATAATCATTAGTGAACAGTTTGTACAACAGAAGGCGAAAGAAGCTATGAAACTAAGCTAAAAAGGAGAGGATGAAAGGTTGGTCAATTTTACTTGGTAGCTTCCTCCCCATTTCATGAGACCAGGTACCAGTACTGGCAAGCTGTAAGAATACAGGACCTTCTCTCTTCTTAAACTCTATATAACTCCTCAAAAATTGGCCAACCAAGCTAAATTACAAATGAACTTCTGTGTGTGTGTGTGTGTGTGAATAGGTTAGAAAGAATATGGACGCCAATAATCCACTTCCTTTTTAAAAAGTCATGCAAATCAATGCTTAGAAGCCTTGAGGCTTGAAGTATCAAATGATTGATGGCCCTACATTTCATGGCGGTCAGCCGGCCATTAACATGAAAATTATAACTATTAACAACAATAACAATAATGATACAAAGATAAAAGCAAACCATAGTACACATTCACATCAACTTAATTTTAAAAACGGAATGACCTTTCAGATGAGGTAGTATTTATCTCGACGCTCAACTTCAGCGCAGATGCAACTTTCTCGGCAATCCTTTGTTTCTCCGCAGAAGCTAACCCATCAAGCAAGAATACAGCCCTTCAGTATCCAACCTTCAATATTTAAATTTGGAGTGACAGAAAGCATGTCAACCAACATGGAAAAAGGACTACCTGCTTTCATTGCTTCCTTAGCTAGTTGCTCGTCCAAACCTGAATGCTTTGCTTGACCACGCACAACTTCACTGTATAAACTCTGTCTTGTCTCCTCATTCCCAACAATCTTTACTTTGGATATTCTCTCAGGTCCAAGCTTATTAATGATAGATCTAACAATTAAGAAACACATTGGAAATATTAGCTTTAACATTCATATTGTAAAATTAAAAGAAAAAACAAACAAACAAATTACAATGACTCATGATATTGTGAGAAAATGACTTTTAATCCAACATTAAAAAAAAATGTTTTTAACTGTGGTATATAACTTTAACATTAACATGAATATACCTAGCAATTTCTTCTCCACTTTTGCTGTAGGCTGTGAGAATAATCACAGGTATTCCCTCGTTATATGCATTGTCAATGAAACTGCAGAAATGAAATGTAGCTCCACTTAATAAAGAAACAATCAAGAGATTGATTTGTAAATTGATACACTTTGACAATTGACTCATGATATCAACTATTATTGCAAGTGTTATCTCATTCGAAGTGAAAAGCAGCAAGCAACAAGTTAACATGCATAGCATGACATTAAGCAATATCTGAAACTGTGCCTGAAATTGTACCTTCCCTTACAAAGCTCCTAACATTTATAGATTGGTAAACGACCAATGAGTTTCTAAGGAGAGTTAATTTTCCCACTTTTCATAACATTTCAAGGATAAAATCCTTACATTTCCTAGAATTTCATGAAGCAATTTCATTTCATGATGATCTTGATCAGATTAAGCTATGCTAGCTAATATGCCTGCCTATTTTATCTCTATCTTCTGATGCTGCAGCCAATAAGTTTGAGGAGCTAACTAGGACTTCTTCAGAAAGATCCAAGTCTTGCATGTTGTGGTCATTTGAAGTAAATGAGCATTATAGAATCAGGCTTCTTCCATTTGGAAGTATATTAAAAATGGGAAGCCCATATAAAAAAGATTTAGACAAATCAGCAACTAAATGAGCATTATTGCTTCTGAACCATGGATCACATAGCCTTGCGTAACTCAAAAAAAAAAAAAAAAAAACCAAATGAGCAAGAAAATCAAAACAATATAACACGATAACAGAAAGATTACTACAACCATTAAATGGTCAATTTCCCAACACGGCATCCAAACATCATAGCAAACCAATTTATTTCCACTCTGACAAGAAATAGAGGCATTCAAATTAGAAATAGGTGGACTAATTAAACAATACAGATGACGTAACAGAAATTCCCATGAACCATTCAACCAGTATTCAGTTAGGAGCACTTACTCTTCAACTCCAGGCCGTAAAGGTAAACTTTGTGAAACCATCAATTCATCTGATGCATTTTTCTGCCAATAATGGATCAAAAAAATGTTCCATCATATTTTTTTAAAAAAAAATTATACGAGATAGAGAAGAAAAAAAACATTGTTTTAGCATCAATTTAAATTTTAATACTCACAAGAGGAATGCCATAACAAATGAATACAACGTATAACAAAAGAAGTATATTCTACAAAAATAGTTAGAGACGGAGAGGGGCAGGTGGGGGCATGCATACAAACTTAAGCACCAGAAGATATCAACAAAGAATAAGACCTAGACGTGACTGGCTAATCCAGACAAATTCACTTGTTCTTCATTGTAAATAGACTCAATACATAGTAAAATTGTAAGCATTTGTATTCAACTCCAATCTCAACTAGATCCTAGATTCGTGTTTGAGATCACTAATTCAGGTCCTCTCTTCATAAGGAAAGATGCCTTTTTTTTTTTTTTTGGATAAATGGGAGTCAGAGCTTTGCTCCCCTATACCCGGGGGCACCCGCACCCACCCCTAGGTCCAAACCTGGGAAACATAAGGGGTTTGTGGCATTAAGCTCATCCAAGGGTTCGAATTTGGGGGCAGAAAGATGCCATCTTAGGAAGTAGTTTAGAAAGGAATAAATACAAGATAGTTTTAGGAAAGGGATAGAGAGGTCCTGTATATTTGGGAGTGAGTCAAGATTATCAAGGCTAGATGTTTGTTTTTTACAAAGAAGTTATTTAATTATCCAATTTTTTTTTATCATTTCATCCAATTAAAAGCTTTTGCCAAGAAATGCATGGATGTCAGAAATTGAAAGGATGGAAAATCCTCATCGCAAGCTTTGTAACTACTAACATTTCAATACAATTTAAGTTATTTCCAAAGACATGTCAAAGAAGGGAGACAAGATTAACCTAATGGTTAAACCCTTCTCTCGTGAGGAGAAGAGAAAACTTTAAGACATATAGATAAATTTTACAGAACTCGAAGCTTCTGAATACAAGCAAGTATCTGCAAGAGAAAGAATAGTTATGCACTTCTCTTTGAATTAACTGCCCGAGGGAACCTACAATCAAGCGCCTAAGCAATAACTGCCAGATATCTCATGCATATATGGTTAACAGAATTACCTTTTCTCGCAGAACACTTTTAATAAATGATTCCTTCTCATTTGTTGGTAGTGAAGTCGGCCAACCAATCTGCAATGAAGAAAGACTTCGACTGACTGAAAAATGTATTTCATACCCAAGGGAAAAGAAGCAGTGACCAAAAATACTAGGTCAGAATCTCAAAACAAGAAAAGAAACTCACACGGTTAAAATACATAATTAGCATTCGTTCCTCATTAGCAGCATTCTTCCTGTGAAAGAAATTGAAAAGATTTTCAATAATCTTGACTCACGATAGTGATAGAGCCTTAGCTTGATTACGCTATGCCAAGTAGGGTTCCGGAACATGTTGATTTCTTCTTCTCAATGATCTTTTAATTCGTACTGCAAAGTGGCTGATAACCTTTTCTCTATTTTCCTTGATCATCTATTTGAAGACGAGGAAAAACTTCTTTGGCTCAAACTTTATCAAAAATTTTTGTGGTGATTGGATAGAAACCTCAAATTGTTTGTAGAATTTTTTAATCTTTTATGGACACCCTCTTTGTTACAGCTTCTTGGTGTAGGCTTTATAGAGTTTTGTAATAATTCTCCTCTAAATGATATTTTGACTAATTGGAGGGCTTTCATGTAACCTCCCGTGGCTCAAGGGTCACCTTTCCTCCCTTTTTCCTTGTATATTTCATTGATCTACAAATACCTTGTTCCTTGATTTTATAAACATCCGAGAGGTCTGTATCTCTCCTAAACTAAGCTTAAAGTCCACCAACTTCAACATCATATGGTCAGAAAAGCAAAGACGCCTAAATTTTGTTAAATTGAATAAATCAGACTGGAACTGTACAAAAAAAAGTGAATAAATTTTTAAGATGCTAAATTTATCATATATTCATTTTGAAAACAAATATGAGCACAATGGCATTCGTTCAAAATATAGGTAGATTAGATCGTATCAGCAAGAGCTAAACCTGACAAGGTCTGAATATACAGGATCAGTCCAATTTGCACAGTCAAGTCCAAGCTTCCGAAATGCTGCCAGCACAAAGTTAGATAATGATCATCCAAAACACATAAATCGAAATTAACTATAGAATTTAGATTTGTTAATGAAATAGTATGAAAAGATTAGCACCCTCATTGAAAGCTTGGCGATTAGTTGAGCGATATGCATCCACAAGGACTCTGGAAGGAACGGAAAAAAAGAGTTAAAAGGGAAGAAACTCCAAACCTACCAGACTCATGAAACATTACAAAATTGGAGAGCATAAAATATTGATTGTTTATTAGGTCAAATCACCTAGACAATATTGTCCAACGACCCAAACTCAAATCAATGCAGCCTATTGCCTCCCTGGCAACATTGCGTTCACACTATGCTTCTTTTTTTCTTTTCTTTTTTTCTTTAACTTCTTTTCTCAAAATTTTGTCTTTCTTTCTCTAGTTTAATCAAATATCCGCAGAAGCTTTTATGAGCAACACAATCATCACAACTCATAAGGAACTTAGTACGTATTCAAAGATGTTGTAAAACAATAAGTTAGTGATCCAGAGTTATGGTTTGAAAGGGAAAGACCTTCTTGGTCTACTTTAACAGCTGGACATGGACAAGGGCCCGTTTGAAGTGATTGGTAGGTTGAAGGGAACAAGGCCACAGTCTAAGATGAGTGATTTGGTACTTGGTTCCTCTTGGTGAAAGCTTATAAGATCTGGTTGTTCATCTTTCATATATAGTTATTTCACCGATGTGAAGGGGCGAGGGGTAGTTAAAACTGCCAGTTAATCCTAACGTAGTCCAATCATTTTTCAGGTCTGAATCAGATTCTCTCTTTCCTAAAAATAATTATTATTATTATAAATAAATAAATAAATCAGAGATATTTCCCACTTTGTGATTCTTTAACATTTATGTACTGTTTATGATGGTTACGTTGCCTCTATTGATGCAAGTATTTTCCTGGAAATGAATTCTATCATCTTTTCTTTCGTTTAGATCTACAAATGAGGGAAGACAACCAAACTGCCAGTTTCCATACTTGGGCCGTTCGAAAGATCGTAGGTCCAATAATTTAGAGTCCTGTCTACCGATTTTCTGATGGTGTCCTATAATGGCCTAAAATTTTCTTGATTCAACATGCCAACAAGATAAAAGATGAGCTTGGTTAGGAACGTGATAAAACTAAAGAGCGTAAGGAATTCAAACTGCAAAAAGTAAACACATTGATTTAGAAATCTAAAGGCACATTGGTCGGGTAAAAATGGTGGAATAAATCGTCATAATTCAAGCATCTGATAGACTTGACCTAAACAGCGTCCACCTTAAGAAAGTTTGTAAAAATAATAATGGTAATATTACAGATGACACCATAAAGCTATAAACAAAAACAGTTTCGCGAACTTAAAACAGAAGTCGAACTGAGAACGACGAGTGTTACGGCGTCAATACGTTCTTGAAATTAAACACTATCTAGGTATTTGTCTAGTACTTATCCATAAAGAGAAGAAACGTATTCGGATAAAAAAAAAAAAAATCGAACCAGCAATAATAAGTAAAGAGATTGAATGCATGGAATTAAAAGACAATTGTAGGAATCACCCTTCAACTTCGAGAAGAACCGCGAGTTCTTGGGATGAATAGTTGTTAGAACGGCTGGTAGTGCTGAGAGCAACTGGTGTCCTGATTCGTAAACTCTTCCCAGTGGAGGTAAAGCTTCTCGAGAAAACAGAGAGATGTGGAGAAGAGGGATGGAATCTGGTTGTTGGCAGATTAAGTCCGGCATGGGAGTAGAAGCAATTGCAAGATGTGGTTCTTTTGATAGGATGAGTATAGAGCGTGGAGCAGGAGGTTATTTCCATGGCGGTTGTTGAAGGATTTAGACCACAGCTCCAATGACCTCCTCCCGCTGATTTCACCACTGTTTTTCCCCCTCGCTAAAAGGATGCGTCCACATCCGCAACTGAAGTTATCGGAAATAAACAAATATGCTGAAAATATCTTTGACCTCTGTTGTTTACTTGGAACCAATTTTGGCTTAGATATTGTTTAAAAAAATTGTACTTATTTTATCGCTATTAATTATTTTAAAACAATAAACTCATAGTGTACTCCATCTTTGTAGAGTAACTATGATTTAGTTTATGATGAGTTTAATCGCTATTTGTATAAATTTGTAATGGTTGAGTTGGTAAATTTTAATATATCATTTATTTATTTATTTATTTTTACAAATTAATATATATAATAAAAAAAAATAGCATTTAAATTAATTATTGATTTCTCTGTTTGTAACATCTGGGTTAATTTTGGATTTAAGGAACATACTAGAAGGGAAAATAAAAAAAGCCCCATAGAAATCTCGACCCAAAAACATAACTTATGACCCAATCATACGAAAATTTACCCAAAGGCTCCGTTGTTTGCCTTAGCCTATGTAGGGCCGATGTAAACTTTTCAATCTCGTGCAACCTTAGCTAGCGAAGTTTTTGTGTTATGTGTGTAGTCGGTTATTTGTTATTTATAAGACAATATTTGGTAGCATTGTTTTTTTACACATGTGTGAAGTCTATTTGTAAATGATGAAAGTAGCAGCACCGATATGTCAACCGAATAGTTGGCTAAAGTTTTACATTCTCTACGACGATAAATCACTCGGATCAATTTTGTAATCAAGTTGGTAAGTTATAATATATTATGTTACCTATGCATTGTTCAACAAGTTTTTCGAGAGGTGACTTCTTTTGCTTGCTTGTTACACGAGTTATCTTCCAAAGGAGATGAATTAATCTTCTCCATCAAAGACTTATTACAGAGACCCCGATACTAACGACAAAAATAATTTGCACTAAAGGAGGTAAAAAAATACAGGCCTGTCTCTAGAGAAACACAACACGGAAGATAGCTTTTATATTTAATACACGTCGAAATATATTCCAAAATCTCACTCCTAACCTTGTATGTGCAGCTTCAAAACGACGCTTATTTACATAGACGTTTATGGATAAAAAAACAAGAGTTACCCTCATGTATTGACGTGCAACCATAATCTCGTATAAGTTAGAAACAAGTGAAACCTTGCACATAGGTAATAATTGACTATATTACATTGATACAACAACATTATAAAAATAATCAAAGAGAAAATGAAGGCCACGTTAGGTCTACAATAAATGTAGAAATACAAGAAGGTCTAACGATATCTCGTTTGTACTGTAGTGTGAGTATGTCAATTAACTCATACAAATATTTTGATAAACATACAAAAATAAATCATATCATAAAGCATCGATATTGACCCGCCACTTATTTTAGTCGCATGCCTTTATTATTAGTTATTTAAAGTTACTGGCCAACTTATATTTATCTTTGTATTACATCATTGTGGAAGAGTTTTGTCCAATAATTTTATTATACCATTTCTAAATTTAAGAATTATACGTAGTTGAAAATGACCCAAAATTGATAATTATAAAAAAGTAGAGATAATTTGATGATAGTTTTAAATTTTAATATGATTTTTAAGTATTAACGTGAATATCAACATCATTGATGATACCTATTCATTAGTTTAAGACGGTAAGGCCTTTTAACTTTATGTTTATTGCACAAAAAAAAAGAAAAATTTAGATAAGATCAAACATAATAATAATAATATTATTATTTGAACGGAAAGTGGGAAAGTTTTTAAATTAAAACAAAGAACTCAACACGTACGCATAATTCGGGCGTATTTAATATAGTCAAGAAAAAAGTGGAAATAATAAATATAAGACAACGGTCAATCACGTCACATGCAGCAAAGGAGGCAAACCAGTTATGTGATTTAAAAAAAAAAAAAAAATATTCGTTACTAACTTACCATATCAACTCAAGTCAGTTTAATTTTTTGAAATTAATTTTCTAAAAAATAAAATAAACTATTAAATATAAATATAAATTTGATGTGAAATAAAATATTAAAATTGTACTTGATAGATAAAAAAAAAAAAAAAAAGAAAGTTGGGAGATTAAATCAGTAATTTAAAATTTTATTTTTAAAATTTGAGGTGTGTTTATTTGAAAAATGGGCATTTGGGAACATTTCCAGGCTTTGAAAATGCCCGCGGACGGATTTAAATAATCTGAATTAGTGCAAAAAGAAAATCGAGCGGGCAGTTCCATTGGATCACTATCCGCTCCCCAGCTACTCTCACTATAGTCTTGTTTATAGCTTTGTTTCGGACCCCACTGCGGACCCTACAATTTGAACCGCTCAACCATTGTAAAATTTAATCTAATATTACGTCACGCGCTGTCAAGAATGTTCGTAAGACCACGCGCCTTCCTCTGCCACGTTGTCGCTTTTGATTGGTTCATACCGACACGAGTGCAGGCCGACGAGTGGGAATGGCTCTTCCCGAATGCGTACACCCCAAAATACCCTTCTGTCTCACAGAGAATGAGAAACGAAAAAAAAGAAAAAAAAGAAAAAAAAGCGGAGGAGCGAAATCTCTTTCTTCCACTCTCTCCCCATCGCTTCTTCTTTCGCGCTTCCCTTTTCCCCCTCTCTCTGTCTGTTCGCTCTGATTCAGGGCATCGCTTTGTAGCATTTCTTCGTCGAGACTTGCGTTCTGCCTGTCGCAGGTACTTGCCGTTGAGGAATATAGAGATAGAGACAATTCTGCATTTGTTTTTGTTGTAGATAGGATCAAAAGTTAGTAAAAAATGTCGGAGGAGGAGAAACTGCTTAAGGAGGCGAAGAAACTACCGTGGGAGGATCGGCTGTCGCACAAGAATTGGAAGGTCAGGAGCGAGGCCAACATTGATCTAGCAGCTGTATGCGACTCCATTACGGATCCTAAGGATTCTCGTCTCCGCGAATTTGGTGAGTCCACTTAGGTCCATTTCCACTTATTAGATCTGTTATAATGGCTCTGCAGCTCACCATTGACGATCGAGTGTTTTGATTGGTATGGATCTTTGCTCATGCATTTCGTTTCTGATTTCTTTAGGTCCGTTATTTAGGAAGACCGTCGCGGATTCTAATGCACCAGTGCAAGAGAAGGCACTGGATGCATTAATTGCTTACTTACGAGCTGCTGACGCAGATGCGGGGAGGTGGAAATTCTTTTGTTGCTCTATCTGAACCCGTAACTTTATTTAGTCATCCACATTTGTGTTTCTGGTTCTTTAGAGTTACCGGTTAACGTTCTGATTGTATTTTCTTTTGGAAATTGTCGTTTATAGGTTTGCCAAAGAAACTTGTGACGCAATTGTTGCAAAATGCTTAACTGGTAGACCTAAGACCGTGGAGAAAGCCCAAGCAGTGTTTATGCTCTGGGTAGAACTAGAAGCCGTGGATGTTTTCCTGGTATTTTTTTCCTAATCCCATAGTTTCAAGCATTGATTTTAGAATGTAGCATTTTGATGCCAGCGGTTTATATTCCATGGTTCACGTTTCAATCATTAGGAAGTGTGCTAGCATACTGTATACAGTTTTTGAAGATTGAGAGTGGTTTATGAGATTCATAGAGAATATCACTTTTTGGAGGTGTACATGCTTTGGCAGCTTTCAAGTATGGAGGCTTTGCTTCTTTTTTCTTTTGGGTAAAACTTAAAAGTTAATTTTCTAACTACTCATATGATTCCAATAATAATAATATCAAATTCATGTGTTATTCCACCAAATTATACTTTAACGACCAGGACTAGATTTTAAGACACAGTTATAACTATACTTACAGATACTTGGACGCATCATTAAATTTCTTGGTTACACCTGAATATTCAAAATAGGGAGAACGTGATCATATCTGTGCCTGGAGGAAGAAGCATACTTATTTCACATTGGTCGTGAATAAGAAATAAGTGTATTGATCTGTGTCAATGGAGAGACTAGTACGTCCATGGAGGCTGCATTAAAGAGCTCTAGTGAGCTATTTTTGTTATTATTATTTGATGAGAGACAAGACGTATATCATGCACGTGATCGAAAAATACAGCCTAGGGCAATTGGGAAGAAAGAACCCTCTTCCACACCAAAAAGATTGAAAGGGAGCTTTACTAAAAGTAATTGATTATTTATAATTAGTTAATTTATTTTACTTGTAGAAGCCCACAAGAAGCAAAAGAAACAACCAAAGAAAATTGGTCCCTACCCTTGTTAATTTCAACATCATGATACTTGAGACTAGGATAAAATCACAAGATTATTACATATAATCAACATATAGCATTTTGTTGATGACACAAAGCCTTTTGAAATAATTCTCTTGTTAAATTACAAGAAACATTTTAATTCAGAAAAGGAAATGTACTAAAAGGGGAGAGGAGGATAGGCTCAGCTTGTGGTAAGGTATAGAGCAAGTTTGGTATGAACTTTCGAGATGAGGCCATTTGGAAGCTTGACTAAACAAAAGCATACACAATGAAGTCGGTCTGTTATTTTGGCTCTTAAAAAGAGAGAAAAGCAGCCTATACCCATTTGTTATCAAGACGATTGGGATGAAAGAAATACAAGGAGACGAAATTCTTGCTATGGACATAGTTTTTTGTAGCTTCAACATGTCAGATAAGGTTCAAGAGAGGAACCTACTTTGTGTCAAGTGCATTAGAAATGAAGAGTGTAGCGACTATTTCTTCATTTTTTTTTGGGTAAGCTCATTGTTCTTTTTGTTCGAATGAATAAAGAGTTCATTGATGCCTCCTTGCTCACTTCTTTGTTGACCAATTTCTGTTCCCATGTAGGAGTGAGGGATATTCGCTTCTGGTATTCTAGTCCATCTAGGGAATTTTCATGTAGCTCTTTTTTCTCTATCTTTGTGGGTCCATCCCTCTGATTAGTGTCCTTAATCTCCTTGCTTTGGATGGTTTGAGTCCTCAAGAATGTCACTTTTTTGCTTCATAGATCTTCCATAGGAGAATTAACACCATGAATTGTATTCCAAGAGTGTGGTGTAGCTTAAGTGACATGCTTGAGTTTTCTCCAAGAAGTCTAACTTAAGATCTTATTATT